CTCTATCTTCGACCCTTTAGGCGTCTAGGAGCGTATTATATAGAGTAATACGATCTTTAAATACGACGAGATAGTAACGAATAAGAATTATTAGTAGTATAACCTAGACTATACTTAGGATCTAATAGGTGCCTTCCTAGTACCGTCTCCTAACTACTCGCTAGGCGAGTCCGACCTTACTAATATGCATCTTTTTAGCAAAATTATCCCTCCTAAGCTCGCGACTCGGGCTAAGCCGCAACCTCCGGCTGTTGCCTCGCTAACTAAGGCGATCTAGCTAAATTCCTCGCGCGTATTACTATCGACTAAGTTAAACACTCGCTAGAAGCTAACTACTAGCCTATTCTTAGCGCCTTATCTACTATCGAAGATGCCGCTACCGTCTAACCTATTCTCTACGCCTACGAAGGCTCTAGTTGTAGCTTAGCTACTACCGCCTAATAACATAGTTACATAGCTATAGCACAAGCTCCTATCGCTTCCGATACGCTTACTACCTCTGCCCGCTTTATAGGAAAACACTATAGGCGCCTATAGATAGTACTAATATAATACGACGGCAATTAGTATACGTACGCTTAACTTATAAGCGCTCTACTATATACGCTAGTCCGAGTTAGTAGCAACCGAGGTATACTAGCTTTAGTAGATACTAGCTAAGGCACAGATCCGCGAAGTAACTAAGCGCTAGATAGCCTAGTAGTATCGTCTTTCCGCTACGGTCTTAAAGGAGTCGCTTACGCTATTACTAACCTATCTCTACTACGATTTCTTACGCGTCGCGCCGTAATAGGCAATCCTAGTACTATACCCGATTAACGAGGACGCTTTTAAGCTGCTTAGCGGCGTATAAGGCAATACTACTAAAGATAAGATCGCGAAGCTTAACGTATAGATAGCCGACTACTTTAAGCTATACGGTACTATACGCGATACTAATATACTACTATTGCTAAGTACCGACTTCCCTAATATCCCTATCGATTAGTTAGACCGCGCTACTACTATAGCAGACGTAGTTAATACCTCGCTATCCGATAACAAGACTATAAAGTACCGTATAGGCAGGTGCTACCTAAGGGTTGCCGAGCGAAGCGAGACCTAAGCGGAATAATAGTTAGAAGTTGTTGCTGCACCGCTATATTAGTGTCGTAAGAGTGTTTACGAGGTCGTTAATTGTGTCGCAAGAGCGTGTCGCAACGTCGTTGTCGCTATAGCAGTCCGAGGGAGTCGCGTTGTTGCTATACTAAGGTAGCAAGGCACAAGTCACGTAGGGGGGACATTTTGATTTCTTCTAATTAGAGGCCGAGCTAGATTTTGTATAAGCGGTTCTTCAGACTAAACCCCCGGCGAACACTTTGCACGTAACACTACTAACTTCTAACTGTTATTCCGCTTAGCTCGTAAATAGACAACACCTTCGTATCCTCGTCGCAAGCTCCTCGAATGCTTCGGCTTATGCCTGTTTACGTCGCTTCGCTCGGATAAAGACCGTCGCGCCTTAGCCGTAGCTAAAGGCGGTTTAGACTATACCGACTAGCTTATACGACGCCCTTCGTAACTATCGTAATAAGCAAGTATAAAACCGACGTAGTTATTACTAGAGAGATACAATTCTATATCTAGCATTACCGTTCTAGCATACTATTTAGGCTTAGCCTTTATGCGACGCCGCTACGCTCTTTTGCCTTAAACCTTCCTATAGTGCGGCCTACTAAGGACCTTTGTTTTAGGATACTATAGATAGCGCCGACCTTTTTTATAAAGGGGGAGGCTATTATAATATAATACTATTATATACACGATAGCAGGTAGCGGTTACTATTAACCGCTGCGGTCGCTATTGCTACTAATAGTAGGACTATTATATAGATAGCTTGCCTCGCGGCACCTTAGAGATATATTAACTTTTGTACTATATAACCGTTATAATACCTTCGTACTATAACCGTATGCGTAGTAGATAGCCCTATACAGTATCCGCTGTACTAACCACCAAGCTTCTCCGGATACGAGCTTCTCCGAGTATACGCTAAGTAGGCCTCGCGCTAGCGGATTAGCGATACTATATACGTAAGAATATTATATAATTATTATATAAGATTTACTAATATAGGATAGGAGACTTTATTTACTTAGGTTCTTACATTAACTTCTAAAGGTCCCTAATATATCGCGGTTCGCTACTCGTTTTACTAGTCGTCGCGGTTCGCTAGTCGTTACGTTCCTTTCGTTATTATCGTCGTCGCGATTTCTTTATTATCGTTACTATTCTTCGTTAGTCTAGGTACCTAAGGCATTCTCTAAGGCCGAGTTCTACCGTCCTACTAGTTTGTATAGAATATAGCTAATTAGATCTTTAGCTTCTAAAATCTAGAGAATTATATAGTAGCTTCTCGTATATTTTAGCTACTATAGTACCTTTATTCTTATAAGGCGAGCTTCGCTCGTAAATACGTCTTCTACGAGCTATATCTATTAACGAGCCTCTTTACTGTCTTCTATAAAATATAGAGCGCTAAATAGAGTATCTTATATCTTCTTATAGCTACGTTTAATACTAAAATTCTTCCTTATTATCTCGACGATATAGCGCTAGTATAAGAATATAGTAACCTCGTTATTAAAGCTAATCTAGAAAGTAGCCTATTTACTCGTAGAGTTATTAATAATCGTCTATTTAAGATACTAACTACTAGGCTTCTTATAGTCGGCCTACGAAGACAAGCGCTAGAAGCTAGTCGTAAGAACGATAGTATACTAGCTCTTAACGAGTATATAAGTAATAGGTAGTTAGTTATTATCCTTATCTCGTATAAAGAGGTTAACTAAGTAGAAGCTAGCGTTATTAGTACCGTATATTGCGTCTTAAGATAAGAACTCGCTATATCTCTTTAGTAACTTAATACCCTTCTTAGTCGTATATACTATACTATATTTAGGCCCTTTTAAGGTAGTTATAATAAAGACTTTATATCTATAACTATACTCGAGCGTACGTTCTTTCGCCTTTTTAATTTACTTCGAAATAGCGCTCTTACTAGGTATAATATATCGCTTATTATAGTAATAGTTACGCGACTAGCGACTAAGGTTATATAGTATTTAATAACTAGTCGACTTATAACTAATATCGCTATAGTTATTTGTAAGGAAGTCCTTTACTCGACTAGTCTATAGCGACTAATCTAGTAACTTCTAGCCTATTTCTCTAAGATAGTCGTTCGATCGCTATATATCGTATTATTAGAGGATATAGATATACTAATAGTAATAATCGGTTCGCTTAATAATAATATTAATAGGGGAGCCTTACTTACTATCTTAATATATATTAACTACTAAGCTAACCTTATAATAGTTATTAGTAGTAAACTCGGGTTTATAATAGCCTCTAGTAATAGCTTCTATATGGTTCTTTTTCTTATCCGCCGCCGTCCGTTTCGACTTAATATAGCGATAGTATACCTTAGATATATATCTACTACTAGCGCGATCCTACTTTATCTCCGTAACCTTATTACGACTATATATATTAGATATTAGCTTTATACTTTGTAGGAAATCGTTATATAGTAATAGTATATCCTTCTTAGTAAAGAATAGCGTTTCTTAAAGAGCCTTAAAGTTAGTATAGCTCTTAGTAGCGCTAGCGGGTACTAGTTCTTCTATTATAGCGATATTGCTAAAGTAGTAGAGGCGACTAGGTACTAAATATTCTAAGAAGCCTAAAATTAAGCCTCGAACGGATATAAATTTATAGGTCTTAGCGGGAATATAAAAACGTTAATATTTGTAGGTTCTCTATAAAGCGAGTAAACCGAGATTTAGCGAGGTGCTAGTATACAGACACCTCTATATAGTGTTCCACTAAGAATAATAAAGCGCATATGTGCTTTATAGGATTAAAGTTCCCTAGTCGGGTGGCCCGCCGATCAACCCCGCACAGCAGAAACGCCAAGCATAGGGAGACACTATCTGTATATAGATCTTTAATACTACCCTACGCATAACCCTTAACGACTGCTCGTAATAGCAGGAGACCGAACTATACACAATCGACGGACAAAGGAGCGCTAGAGGGCAAAGGCCGACCGCCTAAAGCAATAAGTAGCTAACATCGAGCAACAGTTATTTAGCCTTAATGTTCCAATTCTAGAACGCAACTAGCGCGAGGTTGCAAACTATAGAAATAACTAGAACAAGGCCGGTTAGTTTAAGGACACTATACGTTACATTAAGGCTCTAAAGCAGTCACTTTCTAAAGCTACTACGAAGTTACGTACGTTATAAACGGGAAGTATACGTACTAGCGGAAAGAAGGTTAGTAGTACTTAGGGAACCAGTATACCCGCTTACTAATATACGGAAGACTAGCCCTACTATCGACGTATAGGGTAATATACTACCTCTATCTACCGAACTAAAGCAACGAGCTTAAGAGTTAGAACCTTCCTAGCCTACTTAGTTACGCAGTATAAACTTTAGCGCACCTATTTGTAAGAATGTTAGTGCTACGGTAGCAGAAGAATACCTAGAATAGTACGGCCCCGATATCGATAAAGAGGAAGAGTAGGCACCGAGGCCGTCGAGAAAAGAGTAGGCGTTAAGGCCGTCGAGAAAAGAGTAGGCGCTAAGGCCGTCGAGAAAAGAGTAGCTTCCTCTCTAGCAGTCGAAGCGCTACTAAAAGTTAGAGTACTCCTAAGACTCTGCTGCTCCTTAAGACTTGTTAGCTCCTTAAGGTTTAGCAGCTCCTTAAGACTTATTAGCTCCTTAAGACTTGTTAGCTCCTCGACGTTTAGTAGCTCGTTAAGACTTTGATGCTCGTTAAGACTTTAATGCTCGTTAAGACTTTAATGCTCGTTAAGACTTTGATGCTCGTTAAGACTTTAATGCTCGTTAAGATTTGCAGCCTCCCCGACGTTTAGTAGCTCGTTAAGACTTTGATACTCGTTAAGATTTGTAGCCTCCCCGACGTTTAGCAGCTCGTTAAGACTTTGATGCTCGTTAAGACTTTGATGCTCGTCAAGATTTGCTAGCTGCTTAAGATTTGCAGCCTCCCCGACGTTTAGCAGCTCGTTAATACTTTAATGCTCGTTAAGACTTTAATACTCGTTAAGACTTTAATACTCGTTAAGATTTGCAGCCTCCTCGACCTTTAGTAGCGCGTTAAGACTTTAATACTCGTTAAGATTTGCTAACTCCTTATAGTAGTACGTTAGCTGCTTGCCTCCTAACATCTAGGGTACGAGATAAACTTTCTCGACGCCTACTATTTACCTCTAGTCCTCGTAACGGACCCTCTCTAGTGTCTGCTCGCGGTTAGCAGCCGAAGCGATCGCTAGACGGTGTAGAACCCGTCTCTCTACTTCGACCTAATACAGAGTTATATCTTAGTTCCGATATAGCCTCTCTAACAATAAAACGTAAACCCGTTGTAGCTCTTATATATGCGATTACCGATATATTAGAGCGATGTAAGGACAAGCATATATAGCTCGGTAAGCTTACGAGCTTCTTAAAGTGCAACTATACCGCCGAATTCTCGCTATCGAATTTTATATCCGCTATGAAAATACTCTAAAAGTATAGGATAGTAAGAACAACGAGAGAGGATCCTATCTATCTTACGGGAGTTGCTCTAGTTGCTAATAACGGTCTAGAATTCCAGCCGCCCCCGTTATTCTAGAGACTACGTATCGCTAACATATACGCCGAGCAAGTTAGCGGTAGACTATAAGCTAGTACAAGGGTTCGAAATAATAACTAGCCTTACATTCTACGCTTACAACAGTAGTAGTCTTATATAACGGCACGAGGTAGGAAACGCGATATAGACACTTATAGCGAATTGTAGACACCTCCTATAAAGAAGTATAAATAGGATAGCGCTATCTAGGATTGGCTTTACGACGTAAGTCTATTATCCCTATCCTAGCCGTATAACGAGAATAATAGCGGCCCGTATACTTCCTCTCTCTATAGAGCTACCTACGTTCCTCCGTTAATAAAAAACTTAGAGTAGTCTATAACTAACCCTTATATCTTTAGAGTCCTACAACCTGCGCCGCGGAGGCTAGTACGAAAGCCTATAGTAAAACCCTTTCGAACTGCTTATAGAACATCTGCTACAGTTAGTAACATACTAGATATACTAACGAGCTTGCGCATCGCTCCCGGCCGCGATCGTATTACTATCGGCGGGCATTAGTCCGCTTAGCTACTCTTCGGCGTAGCCGCTCGGGTATCCGCTCGGGCATTAATTGCATCTATATAAGCTTACTACTCTAAGCAAAAGATGTATTGCAACCGGGCTAGGGGCGATAGTATCGCTATAATTACTATACCTACGGAACATTCTCGATAGTACGAGCGACGTATTCACACTACGAGGCTCTTCGTACTCTCTATAGACAATGCAACGCTCCTCGGCGAAGACATAAATTGGCGACCCGTCTATCCCTCCTAGTACCGCGCTCTATAGGTATAGTATATCGGATATTACTTCTCTAGATTGGGCCTTGATCTACAATCTCGTAGTAAGTATGCGATTACAGATGCCGACTTCGAAAAGATCTAAACCTTCTATTACGAATTTGCTTTTATACTACTATTAAAAGCGAACGGGGAAGCCTCTATATATATTTTAAGCTGCAGGTAGCAACTGTATTCGTAGCATGCTTTCTAGCTATAGTCACTTAATCTAATATATATTTAGCGCATTTTCAACATGTCTCTTTATATCTGTATAAGAACAATTCTTATAGGAATCTATTCTACAATTTTAGAGAGAGTTAGCCCGAAAACTTAGATCGGAAGTACTATTATAATAGAAGGGTTCGCTCTCGTAAAGGAAAGGACTGTCGCTATAACCCTCCCTATCTAGAACTACTATAGTTAAGAGATAAGGAACGCGATAATGTCTACACGCAGATAAACCTTATTGTTATATAGTATAGACTAGACTACCTCGAGTGCCGAGAGGAGGGTTACCGCTTTAAAGGAGATCGGCTAGCATTTATTCGACATATAGTTGTTAATTATATTATATCGGATAAAAGAGCAATATATAATCGCAAAGCATTATTGTTATACGACAGAGGATATAGTATTAACCTTGTACGATTGTCTACCGAGTAGTTTAGGAAGCACTTTATAGCACGTACTACTAGTGTATACAGAAAACATCGAGAGCCTAATTGCGAGGTAGACTTAGTATTTAGAAAGGGTAAGGAGTAACATTAAAGGTCTAAAATACTTATAGTTGTAATAAGGATCTGTTCGTAGTAGTTATTAGCAGTAAGGCGAAAAAAAAAAACTTTAAGTAAAAGTTTGAAGTAAGGCGAAAGAAAAAAAAAAATATAAGTAAAAGTTTTGAGTAAGGGGAAAAGCTTTAAGTAAAAAGTTTAAGTTAGGGGAAAAGCTTTAAGCAAAAGTTTTAAGTAAGGGGAAAAAAGCTTTAAGCAAAAGTTTTAAGTAAGGGGAAAAAAGCTTTAAGTAAAAAGTTTGAGTAAGGGGAAAAAAGCTTTAAGTAAAAAGTTTGAATAAGGCGAAAGAAACTTTAAGCAAAAGGTTTAAGTAAGGGGGGAAGAAACTTTAAGTTAAAATTTAAAGTGAAAGTTAGGTAGGGCAAGAACTTTAAGTCGCAGCTTCTTACAAGTTAGTAGCTCTAATTAGGATACTGTTACGCCGCTACTAGCTGCAATAGCTAAGCGCTATAACTTTATAGAGGACGATATCGATACACTCGTCGTACAGTTATTTGTTCCTAATAACGACGCGCTACCCGCAAACTATTCCGACTATATAGTAGGAAATAGTACGACAAAGCATTATATACGCTTACAGCTAATAGGATTCTATAGGTTAGCAAAACAAGCCTATAAAGGAAGCGAAAGTCCTTAATCGCTATATAAGAAATTAGGGCCCTTAGAAGGGTAACAATAATAAGAAGGAGCAGCATCGCGCCGCCGTAGAATTTTGCCTCCGCTACCTAAGCAGCGCTATTAGTCTAGGTGTATCGTAATTCGACATCCGCAAAGTGTAGTCTGTCTTTATTAAGCAATAGGTAGGCCCTAAAGATACACTTAAGCGCGAGCCTACCTAAATACCTGCGCTATCGTCTAGCCGCCGCCTAAGACCTACAAAATTGCTAGCGAGCGCATTAAAGACAATATTAAACAACAAGGCGGCGAGTGAAGTCCTTCTAATAGAAGCAAACCCTAGCGGCAGGGATGTAGACAGCGTCTAGGATTAGGGTAGTCGAGACTTTACTACTAGTCGAAAAATCCTAATACTATAAATAAGATTAATGTTTACTATATCTATTAGAAGACACAAGACGTACTAGGCTAGGAATACCTATACTATTACGCTAGCCGTAGTCGATCGGTTAGACATAGTACTTGTCGCATAGCTATTCTATAGACTATTTACGATGCTAGAGGTAGCAAATCTTAGGTAAGCGCCTTCTACGACTCCTAAGATATTTATACCTTTACATAATCGTAGATCGCTATACGCAAATTTGTCGCATAACAGCCTCTAGTGTTAGTTAGAGTCTAAGTTTCATATTACTAACTAGTTAGACATCGTAATAGTAGTAGTAAACCTAGGCGAGGACGATACGAATAAGATTACCGATAACGGTAAGTTCGAAGCCGCCGTCTCTAAGTATAGTAGATACGATACCGCTACTATTGAAATTCTGCTATTTATCGGTTAGGAGGCAGAGCTATAAGAATACGAGATAGATTTTGTCGAGTAGACAAGCAAGAAATTCGAGAATAAGGCTCGCGCGACATTTAGCCGAGATATTAATAGGTATATCGAGAAGAAGCGGAAAACGAATGCGAGCAGTCCGATCGCTATAACTACTAGAGCTTTAGTAGAGTCGGAAGACTTATAGCTAAGAGAGAAGCTGCTATTCAATCTAGAGATATCGCAAGCTTTACGATAGTAGTATGCCGGCTCGTAATCGAGGGCATCGACACCGTCGCCTAACGATAAGCCTCCTATTCTATCCGGTAGAGTTCTACCGAAGGTTATTAACTTTAGAGATCTTAAGTTACCGCCTGCCCCTACGCCGGTATCTTTATAGCAGGCTTAAGGTTCTAGACTCAATATAAACAGTTATACGTCGACTGCAACTACTACCGCGCCGAATACTCTAGCCGTGCCCTCTACGCCTTAAGAGAATCCCTAAGAGAATGCTTAAGAGAATGCTTAAGAGAATGCTTAAGAGAATGCTTAAGAGAATGCTTAATAGAATGCTTAAAAGAATGCTTAACAGAATCCTTAAGAGAATACTTAATAGAATCCTAAAGAGAATACTTAAGAGAATGCTTAAGAGAATCCTTAAGAGAATGCTTAAGAGAATACTTAAGAGAATTCTTAAGAGAATGCTTAGAAGAATGCTTAAGAGAATGCTTAATGTTCTAGACTTAAGGAAAATAGTTAAGGGTCGACTGCAAATACTACCGCATCGAATGCTTTAGCCGTACCCTCTATATCTTAAAAGAATGCTTAAAGTTCTAGACTTAAGGAAAATAGTTAAGAGTCGACTATAGACACTACCGCGCCGGGAGCTCTACCCGGGATCTTCGCTCCTCGAGAAAGTTATCTAAATATATAGATTAAGTAAAGGTCTTAATAATGGTCTAACGAGAAACGGAAGAGGGTTAGATAGCGGTAAACGTATACGAGATCGTTATACTCGTACTAGGCCGCTCGACTCTAATACTAACTCGGAGCCTATAAGGAATAGTAGGACTGCTAGACGCGCTCGGTCTAGGGTTAATACAGATACGGGCAATCCGGAGCCGGACGACCTAGAGGAGCAGGTAGAGGCGACCCCTTATATTCTAAGTTAGACCTATAAAGAGCTCCTCGACCGTATTAAGCAAACCTAGGTAGAGGATCTCAACTAGAGTTATACTGCCGAGCTAGAGCAGATAAAGGGACCGTACATTAAACACATCTGCCTATACCTGCAACTAGCACCGCATCTTTTCGTATATCTATATATACGTATTCCCCTACCGGGCTTCGAGGTAAAGCTATACGCCTAGTATGTGCCTAAAGCTGCTTAGCTTGTATTCTACCGACCGTAGTATACTCGAGAAGCCTAGGGAATCTTAGGCGATATTATAGGTCTCGGCAAGACTATAGAGCAACTTGTAGTCTTCGTTTTCGATATATAGATTACCGATATACTTAAAGACTACGATTAGAAGAAAATAACAGAGAGGCATACCTTCTATAGGGTACGGAAAATTCGGAATGCCTATTAGCGAATAAGTTCTCTATCCCCTACAGATGTAAGTAGCGCGACCTATAGCGTAGTTTTAGGCTTCGTAGAGGCATTGTAGCTCTGTACCTAACTGTCGTATTAAAACCCGACGCTATAGGGAAATTCCTTACTTATACGAACTTCGAGGAGCTAAGCATTAGACTATACGGCTTCGGCCCGCCTAATATAGATAATACGAAAGAGGAAATGGATAGTATTAAGCTCTTTAAAAGGCAGACGTAATAGGCTTTAGGGCTAATCGCGTCCGTACTCCTAAGGTAGATAAGTACCTAAAAGGAATTAGCTAGCCGGGCTCTGCGCAAAATCCAATTATTACTAAGGCGCCCCTCGGTCTATATAAGAAGCTCGTATTCGTGCTAAAGGGTAGTTTCTATATATCCTACGAGAACTGGAATTTCTCTATTACGACCGTATAGCTTAGGAGGACCTAAGAGGGCAGGCCTTACGCAAATGGCTCGACTAATTTAAAAACCGCGACCTATAACACTCTTCTAGTTAGAGCTATCGCAGTAGACGAGGCTAACGAGGAATTTGGAATGTATACGAATAGCATAAGTACGCTTTATAAGCTAAGCGGGAACTATAACACGAAATGTATAGTATATTTCGTAATAGGCACCCTAATCGCTAGAACGTAGAGGCTAATAGTTAAACAGTTTAGAGTCTTCGACATCTTAGGTCGTTATAGCAATAAGGAGAGTCTAAGATTCCTACCTAGGAAAAGAAGTTAAAGTATGCAACGAGTTTAGAGGTAAGAGTCTAGGCGAGGGCTTTAAGAGGATAATCGGTCGCTACGAGCAAGTTTTAGGCGGAGAGCCTTAAAGAAAATAATTCCCTTAGAGAACCTAAAATCTTAATAGCTAAATTACCTATACTATTGTTAAGGGACCTTCTTATACTACGGATATGCAAATCTACCTAGCCATCTAACGCAACAAAACCCTAACAGAAGAAGTAACCCTTAGAGGATGTAGCGGAGGACCTTATAAACACCTAGCTGCGTCGAGATATTATCGATAAACTAACTATACGGACGTAGAAGCTAGAGTAAAACATTGCCTAGGGATCGATTTAGAAATAAACATTGCTAGGGGTTTTAGAAGAATCAAATTCCTATAGCTCTTATAGGACACGAATTAGAACTACCCTATCGACTCTGCTATCTAAAGATAGAAGCGGCCTTACCTTACCGACTCGTATAAGCGACTAGGTATAGACGAACTACTACGATGCCCTTGCTAGGTTTATCGACAAAGAGAATAAGGAGCTGAAGGCTAAAGGCTACGGGCTATTGTCTGCTAAGGAGTAGAAAATAGAATTTACGATAAAGGAGATTAAGGGTTTCTACTAGCTAACTAAGCCCGACAAGGACCTATATACTTACTTCCTTAATAAGCTTATAGAAAGCCTACGCATTAAGGACATTATCTCGGAGCTTAAGAAGCAGGCGGCTAATACCGTTAAAGATAATAAGGGCCGTAAGGCCGTAGTAATAAGCTATTCTAACGTAGTAGCTTATACTAGTAATCTAGTAAGCTCTGCCTTCGTAAACAAGAGCTAAAGCAATATACTAATACTTCTATCTAGGCGTATAAGAAGGCTAGTCTAAAGTCGCAGCTTTTTAACTCTAGGGTACCGAAGGATACTAACTAGCGATTATAAGTAATCGTAGAGTTTAATCGGTCCTAGACGTCGGGCGTAGACATTCTCGTCTACTCTATATATATAGCTAGGCGTATTCGTAACGTAATCTAAGCGAACCCGATAATTGTAGCGGACCTTAACTAGGGCATTATAGGGGTTAGTAGGCAAGTACTAAGGCGACTTAGGAAAACTAAAAGCGCTTAGTAAGAATAGCTCGATATTACCCCTATAGTATATAGATCGAGTATTGGATGTTAGTAAAAGAGGAGCTAGGCAATAGGGGTCTAGAATCCCCTAGTATAAAGGTTAATAAGATATAGGAGAGCGAAAGAAAAGTAGTAGTAATAGGGGTCGGGAAAAGTAGGTCTTGTTCATTTTTCTATATACTCTACGTACCCTTAGTCCTACTAGTCTCGGTCTTCTATTATAGAGCAATGTACGAGGCAAGGCTATAAAGGTTAAGAATTTTAAGGGACGAAGAATTTTAAGGCTCTAACAATTTTGAGTGTCCAAGATTTTAAGGGTCTAGGGTCTAAGAATTTTGAGGCTCTAACAATTCTGAGTGTCTAAGATTTTGAGGGTCTAGGGTCTAAGAATTTTGAGGCTCCAACAATTCTAAGTGTCTAAGATTTTAAGGGTCTAGGGTCTAAGAATTTTAAGGCTCTAACAATTCTGAGTGTCTAAGATTTTGAGGGTCTAGGGTCCAAGAATTTTGAGGCTCTAACAATTCTGAGGGTCCAAGATTTTGAGGGTCTAACAATTCTAAGGGTCCAAGATTTTGAGGCTCCAAGAATTTTGAGTGTTTAAGAATTTTGAGGGTCTAAGATTTTGAGTGTCTAAGATTTTGAGGGTCTAAGATTTTGAGTGTCTAAGATTTTGAAGGTCTAAGATTTTGAGGCTCTAAGAATTTTAAGGCTCTAAGAATTTTAAGGCTCTAAGAATTTTGAGGCTCTAAGAATTTTAAGGCTCCAAGAATTTTGAGGCTCTAAGAATTTTAAGGCTCTAAGAATTTTAAGGCTCTAAGAATTTTGAAGGTCTAAGATTTTAAGGCTCTAAGAATTTTGAGGCTCTAAGAATTTTAAGGCTCTAAGAATTTTGAGGCTCTAAGAATTTTGAGGCTCTAAGAATTTTGAGGCTCTAAGAATTTTAAGGCTCTAAGAATTTTGAGGCTCTAAGAATTTTGAGGCTCTAAGAATTTTAAGGCTCCAAGAATTTTAAGGCTCTAAGAATTTTAAGGCTCTAAGAATTTTAAGGCTCTAAGAATTTTAAGGCTCTAAGAATTTTGAGGCTCTAAGAATTTTGAGGCTCTAAGAATTTTAAGGCTCTAAGAATTTTGAAGGTCTAAGATTTTGAGGGTCTAAGATTTTAAGGGTCTAAGAACTTTGAAGCTTAAGAATTTTGAAGTCTAATTTTTAAGATTTTTGCTGATGTAACTCCGAGTAAAGTTTAGTGAATACGGAAGCTATATTCGCTATATAGGCTAGTAGGTCTTAGTTTCGCTTTCGCTACTTATACCGCGTACCGCGTAAAGGTGCCTACTATTCGCGCGGCCTACGCAAGATCTACGAGGAGTTAGGCGGGTATATATAGGGCATAATTTAAGCGTACTAGGCACGACTTTTAGCAAGATCCATAAGGAGTTAGGCTAGTATATGCAGGGCATAATTTGAGCGTACTAGGTACGACTTTTAGCAAGATCTATAAGGAGTTAGGCTAGTATATGCAGGGCATGATTTAAGCGTACTAGGCACGACTTTTAGCAAGATCTATAAGGAGTCTAGTGCTGTATAGACAGTATTCGGGGCGAGGAAGAAGGAAAGAAAGAAAGGTATTAGCGGGAGCGGAGGCGGGAACGGAAGCGCGCAAGTAGCAGTGCGACTGCCGCGGCCCGACGTTTCTAATAACAAACCCCTATATACTTTTAGTACATCCTTACAATAATTTGAAATCTATCTGCTATAGCTTTAATCTTAGATTAACTAATATTAAAAAGTGTATATTAATTAAGCTACTCTATACTAGCTATATTTTATTTAATTTTCCTATACCTAAACTTTAATATTTATAGAATTTCGTCCTATACTACAACTAGGCACACCTTAGGGCAGCCTATACCTAGAATATAGTACTGCTATACTACTATATTATAATAGCTATTTTATAGTACTATTATAAGCGCTTCTATAAACTTCTATACTACCTTTAAACGGCTATTACTAAGCAATATCGACTAGCTTAGAAGAGGGCTAATTTAGGTCTTCTAAACTAGATACGATATTAGTTATAACTTAATAACTAACTCCCCGATATATACTAGTACTTCTATTAGAAGTAGTAGTACTAGCCGTATCGCTATACCTAGTATAACTATATAATTAAGAGATTCTAGGCGATAGTATAACCGCGAAGTAGGTAGACTACTACTATACTAACCGTTTCTTCGACCCTAAAGGCTTTAATAGTAATATTAACTCGCTAAAGACTTATAGCAAGTAGCTTATAGATAGTAACAATCCTATTAAAGATAGTAATAACGAGAAAGTTAGTAGTATTGCTAGTACTATACTAAAGGACCGCTATCTTCTAATTTATAGTCTTATTAGGAATATTACTTACGACTACTATTAGAAGGCTAAAGGTTAGGAGGGCGGAAATATTAGTACTAGCGTACCTATTATTAGCCTATCGAGACGATATTACTAGATAGTATTATACTAAATATTGCTAACCTATCGAGACGATACTACTAGGTAGTATTATACTAAATATATACGCCTATCGGCGATAGTATAGCTATTATAATATCTCTAGTATTATTAATAGCGATATAAAGATAGTATCTTATTTACTATATAATAGGCGTAGATTAATCTAGATATAGGCGTATTACTATCGATTAGTAGTCGCGTTTAAGAGATAGTCTACCTATAGTAATAACCTTACTACCTATAACGACTGCTACTAGTAAGGGGCCTATTTACGCTAGACGTAGCGACCTAACGTATAATAGAGTATATAGCGACTAGTCTCTATACTAATTAGTATAGAAATAGTTACTATTATTCTCCGCTATTACCTAAGCTATTTCCGCTATCGCAATTTAAGCCTATATAGGTTACTAACTTAGTACTTTAGAATACGTACGATATAGACGACGGCACTTATTAATATAGTATATATTCCTTAGACGACGGTAGTTTAATAGACGTTATATACTAAGTCTTTTACTAATAGCGCTTTCTATTTATACCTACTATACTAAGCGGTCTTTGCTATTTAATAGTCGTCGCGAATGTGCCTATACCGTAGCCGTTAGACCTACGATAATATATACTATAGTAGTCGCCGCTAATTAATATATTATAACCTAGTAACTAGTAAGTAGGCGTATTTACTAACGACCGGCGATTCTTACTAGAAGACTGCGGCGGCTATTTAATAGTAGGACTTTTAGTAGTAATCTAAAAATAGAGGCAATAGCGGCGGCGGTAATAGACAATAAGGCAAGCGCAAGTAGATATACCTCGGATGATTATACTAAACTAAGCAGAATCGTAATTAGACTTCGTATACTCCGCCGCTAGTAGTATTACTAGGTAGGAATCTCTAAACTAATCCTTCGGAGGATTACAACCGCAACTACCGATAATAACTTCTACGCCGTTTACGAGCTAGAGGAGATTAACGAGACGTCGTTTCATCCGTAGCTATTAGCTCGCGTAGGACATCGCTAAGCTCTGAGAGCAAGTTAGAGCCTACGGATAGTACATTCCTAGTGCTAGTTAGTACCTACTTACAGAAACAGAACTCGCGCAATAGATCGATAGTAGAATTCAGTTAGTACGTTACGACGATCTAAAGGATAAGTTCGCGAGCCTTAAATACCTTAAGGAGTTACTTTCGAAAGCTACTACAAAGTTACGTACGTTACAGACGGGAAGCATACGTACTAGCGGAAAGAAGGTTAGTAGCACTTAGGGAGTTAGCATACCCGCTTACTAATATACGGAAGACTAGCCTTACTATCGACGTATAGGGTAATACGCTACCTCTATCTACCGAACTAAAGCAACGAGCTTAAGAGTTAGAACCTTCCTAGCCTACTTAGTTACGTAGTACAAACTTTAGCGCACCTATTCGTAGGAATGTTAGTGCTATAGTAGCAGAAGAATACCTAGAATAGTACGGCTTCGATACTAAAGAAGAGGAAGAGTAGGAGCCGAGGCCGTCGAGAAAACAGTAGGCGCTAAGATCGTCGAGAAGAGAGCAGCTTCCTCTCTAGCAGTCGAAGCGCTACTAAGAGTTAGAGTACCCCTAAGATTTGCCGGCTCCTTAAGACTTTAATTCTCCTTAAGATTTGCCGACTCCTTAAGACTTTAATACTCCTCGAGATTTGCCGGCTACTTAAGACTTTAATACTCCTTAAGATTTGCCGGCTCCTTAAGACGTTAATGCTCGTTAAGACGTTAATACTCGTTAAGACTTTAATACTCCCCTAGACTTTGATGCTCGTTAAGACTTTAATGCTCCCCTAGACTTTAATACTCGTTAGGATTCCGATGCTCGTTAGGATTCCGATGCTCCTTTAGACGCGGATGCTCGTTAAGACTTTAATACTCGTCGGGATTCCGATACTCGTTAGGATTCCGATGCTCCTCTAGACGCGGATGCTCGTTAAGACTTTTATGCTTATTAAGACCTTAATGCTCCTTAAGGCAGTACGTCGGCTACTTACTATATAATATCTAGAGAGCGAGATAGCCCCTCTTAGATTACCTATATACTAAGTCCTTATAACGATAGACGCTACGATATTAGTATGTATAGCAAAGACTCTCTAGTATCTGCTTACGGTTAGCAGCCGAAGCGATCGCTAGACGATACGGAGCCCGTCTCTTTACCTCGACCTAATATAGAGTTATATTAGGGATCCGATATAGCCTCTCTAACAACAAAACGTAAACCTATTATAGCTCTTATATATGCGATTACCGATATCTTAGAGCGATGCAAGGACAAGTACGTATAGCTCGGTAAGCTTACGAGCTTCTTAAAGTGCAACTATACCGCCGAATTCTCGCTATCGAATTTTGTATCCGCTATAAAAATACTCTAAAAGCACAGGATAGTAAGAATAACGAGAGAGGATCTTATCTATCTTACGGGAGTTGCTCTAGTTGCTAATAACAGCCTAGAATCTACGACTCCTAAGCCGCCCTAAGATACGCATACCGCTAACATTAACGCCGAGTAAACTAGCGATAAACTACGAGCTAGTACAACAGCTCTAAATAATAACTAGTCTTATATGCTACGCCTAAAGCAGTAGGGGTCTTATACAACGGTACGAGGTAGGAAACGCGATATAGAGCTTTAGGGCGAATTGTATATACCTTCTAGAAAGAGGTAGAGGAGATTTGTAATATACGAGACACAGAGCCTATTAATACTTCTACCTAACATCCTAGGCATTATAGCCTCGTCTAACTATAGTACCTTGCTAGAGATTCTATAGAGCTCGCTAGATTAGATCTAGGAAACCCCGCCGTAGAAGCTACTACGAAAGCTAATACAAAAGCCTATAGTAAAACCCTTTCAACCTGCTTATAGAACATCTGCTATAGTTAGCAATTTACTAAATGTGCCGACGAGCGTGCTTATCGCTTCTAGTAGTAATCGCACTACTATAGGCGGGCGTTAGTCTACTTAAGCATCGTCCGATATAGTCGCTTAAGTACTCGCTCGGGTATTAATTGTACCTACGTAAGCTTATCGCTCTAATCTAAGGGCGTATAGCAATTAGGCTAAGGGGGGTAGTGTCGCTACAATTACTGCACCTACGGAACATTCTCTATAGCACAAGCGACGTAAGCATATTAACATATTAGCGCTAGCCGAAGACTTCGCAATAATTAACAACGTATCGAAGTGTATAATATAGATGTTCTCGCAAGACATCGTACAATAGCGCTATAGAAGCTTCGTCTAGCAATACTTCACTAATCTAGGCCTTAATCTATAGTAGCGTAGAGAGTATGCGATTGCAGATGCCGACTTCGAAAAGATCTAAACCTTCTATTACGAATTTGGCTATATACTACTACTTAAAAGGGACGGGAAAGCCGGTAAACGCTTTGTAAGCAATTCCGGAATTTACTCGTTCTACGACTTTAATATATAGCCGCTCGACCTAAGATACACTTATAGCAGTTTTTATTTGCTAACCGCTCCGATATTTAAAGTAATATAGACGGGGCTGTCCCTATATATAGCTAAAGAAGTCTAGGACTATTATAAGCAATTATACCTATATAGGAACAATTCTTATAGGAATCTATTCTATATTATAAGAGAGAGTTATAGCGAAAATATAGATCGGAAGTACTATTATAGTAGAAAGGGTCGCTCTCGTAAAGGAAAGGACTGTCGCTATAACCCTCCCTATCTAGAACTACTATAGTTAGGAGATAAGGAACGCGATAATGTCTATACGCGGATGAACCTTATTGTTATATAGCGTAGACTAGACCGCCTCGAGTGCGGAGAGGAGGGCTACCGCTTTAAAGGAGATCGGCTAGCATTTATTCGACATATAGTTGTTAATTACATTATACGGGATGAAAGAGCAATGTATAATCGTAAAGCAGTGTTTTATAACAGAGGATGTAGTGTCAACCTTGTATAATTGTCTGCCGAGAAGTTAAGGAGGCACAATGATATACGTACTAGTGTATGTAAAAAACATCGAGAGCCTAATTGCGAGGTAGACTTAGTATTTAACAAGGGTAAGGGGTAACATTAAAGGTCTGAAATACTTGCAGTTATAGTTAGCATTTATTCGCGATAGTTCTTAGTAATATAAGGGAGGGTATCGAATAAGAGGCATAGATAGGGAGCAGCTAGCAGTAATAGATTACGGTTCTACTAGCGCGTATATACAATGCGAACCCCTATTACTAAGCAAACGGTTTCGTAACGGCTTCACTTACATAGATACCAAATTAACGAAAGCTTACCTCGCTAATTTAGAAGCTTAAAACAATACCGGGTCGCTACAACCGCGACAACTATACCTTCGCTTTAACAACCGTATACTACGGCCGCCGCTACTATAGCGGAGCCCGCTGCGACGCCGCTACTACTAGCTCTAACACCTTAGCGCCGTTACTTTATAGAGGACGAAATCGATACACTCGTCGTATAGTTATTTGTTCCTAATAACGACGCGCTACCCGCAAATCATTCCGACTATATAGTAGGAAATAGTATAGCAAAGCGTTACGTCTACGATTAGTAGGGTCTCCTAGACGGCAAGCTTAAGGACGAGCAGAAAATTCTTAATCGCTATATAAGAAATTGGGGCCCTTAGAAGGATAATAACAATAAGAAGGAGTAGTATCGCGCCGCCGTAGAATTTTGCCTCCGCTACCTAAGTAGCGCTATTAGTCTAGGTATATCGGACTCTAAGATCCGTAAAGGGTAGTCTATCTTTATTAAGCAATAATAGACTAATAAAGATACGCCTAAGCGCGAGCCTAGTTAAACACCTACGCTATTATCTAGCCGCCGCCTAAGACCTATACTATTGTTAGCGAGCTTATTAAAGACAACATTAAACAATAAGGCGGCGAGTAAAGTCCTTCTAATAGAAGCAAACCCTAGCGGCGGGGATGTAAATAGCGTCTAGGATTAGGGTAGTCGAGACTTTGCTACTAGTCGAAAATTGCAAATATAGCAGCCGGGATCTACATTCCCTGCATCTACTAGAAGACTCTAGACGCCCTAGGCTAGGAATACCTATACTATTACGCTAGCCGTAGTCGATCGGTTAGACATAGTGCTTATCGCATAGCTATTCGGCTAACTATTTTCGATACTATAGGTAGGATATCTTAGGTAAGCGCCCTCTACGACTCTAAAGAAATTTGTTTATAAAGGTGATTATCGATTGTTACATCTAGATTTGTCGTATAACCTCCTAGAGGATTAGTTGAGGTCTAAGTTTCATATTACTAACTAGTTAGACATCGTAATCGCAGCAGTAAACCTAGGCGAGGACGATACGAATAAGATTACCGATAACGGTAAGTTCGAAGCTGCCGTTACTAAATATAGTATAGCCGGCAGATACGGCGCCGCGGGTGTTGAAATACTGCTATTTATCGGCTACTAACTAGAGCTATAAGAATACGAGCTAGATTTTGTCGAATAGGCAAATAAGAAATTCGATAACAAGGCTTACGCGACATTTAGCCGAGACATTAATAGGCATATCGAGAAGAAGCGGAAAACGAATACGAGTAGTCCGATCGCTATAGCTACTATAGCTTTAGTAGAGTCGGAAGACTTATAGCTAAGAGAGAAGCTGCTATTTAGCCTAGAGATATAGGAGCGTCGTTATAAGTAGCGCCGACAGCGGTTAGGTCTCTAATCTAGCGAACTCTTACGTAGCGCCGCATTTAGTATCCCTCTATTATCGAGGGCATCGATACCGTCGCCTAACGATAAGCGCCCTATTCTATTTAGTAGAGTTCTACCGAAAGTTATTAAGCTTAGAGATCTTAAGTTACCGCCTGCCCCTGCGCCGGTATCTTTATAGCAGGCTTAAGGTTCTAGACTCAATGTAAACAGTTATACGTCGACTGTAGACGCTACCGCGCCGAATGCTCTAGCCGTGCCCTCTACGCCTTAAGAGAATCCTTAAGAGAATCCTTAAAAGAATGCTTAAGAGAATGCTCTAGCCGTGCCCTCTACGCCTTAAGAGAATGCTTAAGAGAATGCTTAAGAGAATCCTTAAGAGAATCCTTAAGAGAATGCTTAACAGAATCCTTAATAGAATCCTTAAGAGAATGCTTAATAGAATCCTTAAGAGAATGCTTAACAGAATCCTTAAGAGAATGCTTAACAGAATCCTAAAGAGAATGCTTAAGGTTCTAGACTTAAGGAAAATGGTTAAGAGAATGCTTAAGAGAATGCTTAAAAGAATGCTTAAAGTTCCGGACTTAAGGAAAATAGTTAAGAGTCGACTATAGACACTGCCGCGCCGGGAGCTTTGCCTAGGATCGTCGCTCCTCGAGAAAATTATCTATATCCTTTAGGATATTAGCGTTCTATAGATAACATATCGATAGAACTATATAGAATAAGTAAAGGTCTTAATAATAGTCTAACGAGAAACGGAAGAGGGTTAGATACTAGTAAACGTATACGAGATCCTTATACTCGTGCTAGGCCGCTCGACTCTAATACTAACTCGGAGCCTATAAGGAATAGCAGGACTGCTAGACGCGCTTAGCCTATAGTTAATACAGATACGTACACTCCGGAGCCGGACGACCTAGAGGAGCAGATAGAGGCGACCCCTTATATTCTAAGTTAGACCTATAAAGAGCTCCTCGACCGTATTAAGTAAACCTAGGTAGGGGATCTTAACTAGAGTTATACTACCGAGCTAGAGTAGATAACGTACGAGTACGTTAAACGCATCTGCCTCTGTCTGCGTCTATCGCCTAAACTTTTCGTAGATCCCGAAATACCTATCGCCCTACCGGGCTTTAAGACAAAGCTATACGCCTACTAAGTGTTCGGAGCTGCTTAGCTTATGTTCTGCCGACCGTAGTATACTCGAGAAGCCGGAGGAATCTTAGGCGACATTATAGGTCTCGGCAAAACTATAGAGTAACTTTTGATCTTCGTTTTTTATAAGTAGATTACCGATATACTTAAAGACTACGCTAAAAACAGAGATAATCTAGAGAAACACCTTCTATAGGGTACGGAAAATTCGAAATACCTATCTGCGAATAAGTTTTCTATCCCCTATAGATATAAGTAGCGCGACCTATAGCGTAGTTTTAGGCTTCGTAAGGGCATTATGATTCTGTGCCTAACTGCCGGTTTAAAACCCGATACTATAAAGAAATTCCTAGCTTATACGGACTTTAAGGAGCTAGGTATTAAACTATATAACTTCAACCCGCTTAATATAGATAATACGAAAGAGGAAATAGATAGTATTAAGCTCTTTAAAAGGGGAGACGTAATGCGCTTTGCGCCTAATCGCGTTGCGACTCCTAAAGTAGATAAGTACCGGAAGGGAGTTAACTATCCGGGCTCTACGCAAAATCCAATTATTACTAAGGCGCCCCTCGGTCTGTATAAGAAGCTCGTATTCGTACTAAAGGGTCGTTTCTACGTATTCTACGAGAACTGGAATTTCTCTGTCTCGACCGTATAGTTTAGGAGGACCTAAGAGGGTAGGCCTTACGCAAATAGCTCGACTGATTTCAAAACCGCGGCCTATAATACTCTGCTAGTTAGAGCTATCGTAGTAGACGAGGCTAACGAGGAGTATAGAATATATACGAACAGTATAAGTACGCTTCGTAAGCTAAGCGTAAACTATAATACGAAATATACGGTATATTTCGTAATAGGCACCCTAATCGCTAGAACGTAGAAGCCGATAATTAAATAGTTTAGAGTCTTCGACGCCTTAGCTCGCTATAATAATAGGGGGCGATCCGACCCTAACTACTAGAAGGACTTTGAAGTATAGAACGAGTTTAGAAGTAAGCCTCTAGGCGAGGGCTTTAAGAGGATAATTAATCGCTACGAGAAAGCTTTAGGCGGAGAGTATTAGAAAAAGGGTTCTATTAAGGAGCCTAAAATCCTAATAGCTAACTTACTTATGCTAGTATTAAGGCACTTTCTTATACTGCGGACATACAAATCGGTCTAGCCGTTCAACGCAACAAAGCCTAAATAGAAGATGCGACTATTAGATAATGCAGATAAGGAGCTAAAGAATATTAAGCTACCTTAGGATATAATTAACGAATTGAATAATTAGGTAGAAAAGCTAAAGCGGAGCATTAACTAGAAGATCCGTTTAGGAAAGATTAACGCTAAGGCGGTTACGTAGAGGCAGTTTTTCCTCGGCTCTTATAGGACACGAATTCGAACTACCCTATCGCCTCTGCTATCTAAAGATAAGCGCGGCCTTACCTTGCCGACTCGAATAACCGACTAGGTACAGAAGAACTATAGCAAGGCCCTTAATAAGTTCATTAAGGTAAGGAACAATAATCTAGAGCGTAAAGGCTACGCGCCGGTATCTACTAAGGAGTAGGAAATAGAATTTACTATAAAGGAGATTAAGTCTTTCGGCTAGCTTTTTAAGCCCGATATAGACCTATACACTTACTTCCTTAACGAGCTTATAGAAAGCCTACGTATTAAGGATATTATCGCGGAGCTTAAGAAGTAGACGGCTAATACCGTTAAAGATAATAAGGGCCGCAAGGCTATAGTAATAAGCTATTCTAACGTAGTAGCTTACACTATTAATCTAGTAAGCTCTACCTTCGTAAATAAGAGCTAAAGCAATATACTAATACTTCTATCTAGGCGTATAAGAAGGCTAGTCTAAAGTCGTAGCTATTTAACTTAAGGGTACCGAAGGACGCTAGCTAGCGATTATAACTAATCGTAGAGTTTAATCGGTCCTAGACGTCGGGCGCAGATATTCTCGTCTACTCTGTAAGTATAGCTAAGCGTAGCTATAATATAGTCGAAGCGAACTTATTACTTATAGCCGACCTTAACTAGAACCTCGTAGCGAGTAAATAGGCGAAGACGAGGGAGAATCGGGTAGGCTAGAAGCGCAAAGTAAGAATAGTTCGATACTACTCCTATAGCGTATAGATCGAGCATTAGATACTAGATAAAGAAGAGCTAGGCAATACGGCTCTAAGATCCTTCGGTACGAAGGTTAATAAGATACGAGTAAAGAAGGCTATAGAGGAAGATTCTATTATACTCGACGATTCGGATAAGGGCGGTGCGGGCTTCGTAGGAGAGGAGAATAACGAGGAGCTTTAGTAGGGCTAAGCGCAATGTAACTGATTGGTCTTTCCTTCTGGTATTTAGTGCTGTTCTAGTCTTGTTAGCAGGCCCATGAAGATCTTGAAGGAGTCGTAAATCATCCATTGGAGACCGGTGAGAGTGCCAATCATGATAATACTAGAGAATTGATTAGCAACAGGCGCACAATTCGCTCGGTAGCCGTTGAGCTACATCAACTCTACGATGTCAATGCGTGCGAAGGAATGCGAAGCAAACCTAGACTACTAGTATCGACTATCGAATCCGAGCCGGGTTGAAGTGCATCGATTCCAGGGTGGCGACGCGTGCGATGGAATGCGAGGCAAAGCCAGCGAACTAGTGCCGATTATTCCATCGAAAAGACAGCGCGCCCGAATGGCTACACTTCCAGGTAGCTGACTTGCCTACCTCAGACATGAATAGAATGACCGTTAAAACCCTCACTCCACAAGTGTCATTCACGATATCTCATTCATAAGTATCATCTGGAAGGGAGAGGAGAATCTCACCAAACAAATAAGGACTTCATCCCCTCCCCCTTCCCTCCGCCTTCCCACAAAAACCCATGCTACCAAATAAGCACACTCTTCACCACCCTCCCCGATTCCATCCCCTCTACCGCCCTCTTAAACTCCCTAACGCCAAACATCTCCACTAACCTCCTAATCTCTAACGTCCTATCCTTACACTACCTAATTAACTCCGGGATCGCCTTACTAGGATCCCTATCCCCCGCAATTACCCCCTTAAGCTGCCTTCCATTCGCCATATGTTTCAAACCATCGAGTTCCAGCACCGCGCCCACAGGTTTCAAACCTACTTGCAATAATTGCCCGTTTTTCTGCAGGCATTCGAGAGCTTGGGATAAGATTGAGACGGACGGGGTTGTGTCTAGGATGTGGGTGCAGCCGAGAGAGCCTGGGGTTAGAGAACGGATTGCTTCGATGAGGGAGTGCCCGGATTGTGAGAGGGAATCTGGGGAGCTGTTGAGGGTGAGGGTGGCGCCGAGAGATTTTGCTAATTCGATGCGGGAAGGGTTTAGGTCGATTGCGAGAATGGTTTTTGCGCCTAGGTGTTTTGCGGCGGAGATTCCGGCTAGGCCTACGCCGGCTAGGCCTATGACCTATTGTCGCCAGATATGTTAGATCCGAGCGTGGGATAGAATTCTTGATGCACTTACCGCGATAACATCGTCTGGTTTCGGTTTCCCAACATGAGTGATCGCACCAGCACCAGTCGTGATTCCGCAACCTAGAGGTGCGTAAAGTTTCAATTCTTCTGCGTCTTTGATTGTTGAGGTCACGTTGGAAGCTGCGCTGACTTTCACGCGGACTGGGGATGCGAAGGAAGATTGGCCGAAGAAGCCACCTCCAATGACTTTTGATTTGTCGGATGCTAGGACGAAGTTGGGCTCGTTGGCGCCGGATGTGAGTTGGGCATGTTCAACACTGTGGAGCTCGTCATTGGAGGTCTTATAGATGTGGTTTGCATGCATACCAATATGCTGGATGACCGGTACTGCAGTACATGCAATTCAAGCATGCTGCGGCTGAGAGAATGACGAGGTCGCCAACTTGGAATTTCGAAGATTGTTTATTATTTCCTAATTTTGTGATACGGCCAGCGCCTGGGGTGATCTGTAAGTATACGATGATTAAGGGGAGATTGAGTTGACTCTCTGACCTTCATGACCAAGGACTCTTGGGTAGATTCCACCATAGCCTGCAATGTCCGTATGGCATATTCCCGTAGCGATCATCTCGACAAGAAATTCATCTTCCCTCGGTTCTCGTGTGAGGAGGTCTTCCAACTTCCATTCATGCTCTGAGTAGGCTACGATGCCTCGACAAGGGACAGTGTACTCGGTCATGGTTGGCGATCAGGCTGTAAAATCATATGTGGATGTACCGACTACCTTGATGGATTGGGATTTCTATATGTATCAGTGAATCTTGCCCTTGACATCAACTGCGAATAGCATTTGACGACTTTGTCATAGCCTCAGATGGTCTCGTTCATGCGGGGTGCTGCACTACTTGGAGAGGTCTAGATCGGCGAATGCTCGCAAGGTCAAGCGGCCGCAACAATGATTGTTGTGCTTCTCTTCGCACCGGAGGCGGAATGTGCTCCAATGATCATCAGGAGCGCATATGAAGACGCTCGGACCATTGATTGACTCGGATTTGGGATGATATTGACATTCCGCGCCAATGTGCGCTGGACTATACAGATTGCAAGCCCTTCTCTGGCATTTTGTGGCGAAAGCAGCAGTCTTGCATCCCGACGCTGTGTCATGATCTGGGCGCGAAAATAGAAGTTGCCCTGCTTCAGGCTTCCATCGTCTTGGCATTGACCCTGGTGCAGTTCCGGCAGAAGCTCCTCTGAGCATCGACGGTCCTTCTGTCTGGGATGAGTAACCACGCACAGACCTGGAATGGGTTTGAAAAGATCTCGGTGCAATGAAACCGATCATCTAGCATTCTTCCTTTCGGCTGCAGCTCTCTTCGCCCTGACCTCTGCTCTTCTTCTCTCACCTCCATCGACCTTATGTCCTCTCCGCTGTTCCCACAGACCGTCCTTGACCTTTAATACCGCCGCGCCTTGCTGACCTTTTACGTACTCAATTCCCGTGCCTCCGATGGTGTTCGCGCGCACGATCTTGGTGCCGCTGACGGGCACGACTTCTTTTTCGTCTACTTTGGGCGGTGGCGCCAGCTTCGACATGATTCTGTTGTGCCGTGATTCGTTCTCTTGCGGCTCTACGGCAACGATCTCGCCCTTTATGTTGGTGATGATCTTCTTATATCCGGCATCTTGCGTGAGGGTCGCTGATGAAGTCCTTGTCACTCCTTCCTTGACTGGTTTCTTCACTTCGACTATTCTCAATGCGCCTTGTCCATCCTTGACATATTTGAGATCGCCACCCATGCCATAGATGCCCTTTCGAAAACGATCTCTCCACCACAAAAGATATCTCCTCGCTCTCGCTGGCTCCAGCCCAGACTCGCGAAGCTGCTCCGAGGATAATGTGAATAACGCTTCCCATGAAGGAATCTTAGCTGTATGTGCTGACATTCCGCGTCCGATGAGTGTCATGAAGGTCGCTACGTCCGGTACAAATGGCGTAGGCTTGGGGATGCTCAAGGGAGGGGGATTCAGTTTGTGCAGTGACCGGCATTGTATACATGTCGTGTTTCGGAGCGTCGATGGAAGGCTGAGAAGCACGAGCGGCCGTTTGCTGGCCATGGTGAAGGATGGCACTAGGCCGACAGGATTATTTCATGTGATGGCGTGAAGTGAATGTCTCTGAATGAGATGGTCGGCGAGACAGCATTGGCTTCGATGCGGCGAGCTCGTCTCTTCCGGTTTGCCTGAGGCTGCCAGAGGACGGAGCTCTATACACACCAGATTGTCAATGAAGAATTCACAACGCAATCTTTGCCCCTACAAGTTCTTTTTAATATATCTTTTTATCTAGAGGAGTTATAGCTTAATAATATAGGACAAAGATACTCTAATTTATGTATATTTTTAGAAAATATTGAAATTTCTAGTCGTTGCCTCCTAAATAAATAAGCTATATAGCTTAAAACTCTAAGTTAGAGATTTTAGAATTTTAGCGTTTTTTTGAGTCTTAATATACTATTTTTAGTAATCTCAAAACTAGGCCTTATAGTTTTACTTAATAAAAATCTATTTTGAGATTTTTCTCGTAATATAGCTACTATTAGTTCTATAATCTAGAATTTAAAACTTAAATTCTTCTTAGGTTCCCTTTCGTATATCTTTTTCTTTAGACGAGTTATAGCTTAGTAATATAAGACAAAAATAATCTATTTTTAATCTAGTATTAGAAAATTACTAAAATTGTTATAGCTATCTACTAGGATTAGCCTAAAATTCTAGAATAAAGATTTTAAGACTTTTGCTTTTTTTAAGCCTTAGTATACTATTTTTAGTAATCTAAAACCTAAACCTAATAGTTTCACCTAGTAGGAATCTATATTAAAGCTTTTACTTTAAATAAGCTATAAATAGTCTTATAACTTAGAAAAGAATATTCTTAAGAATTGTAAACTTTAAATTGCTAAGCCTACAATTGTTAAGAATATTCGCTTTAGGATTTTAAGACTAATAGTAAGCGTATTAAAATAAGAATCTCAAAATATATTTATACTAGGTAAAACTTTTAGGTCTAGGTTTTAGATTACTAAAAATAGTATACTAAGGCTTAATAAATACTAAAATCTTAAAATCTTTACCTAAGAGTTTTAGGCTAATCTTAGTATATAGCTATAATAGTTTTAGTTATTTTCTAAAAATACATAAAAGTTAAAGTATATTTGTCTTATATTACTAAGCTATAGCTCTTCTAAATAAAAAGATAAACTAACGAGAATATAGTAAGAAAATAATATTCCTTTCTAGATTATATTACTAATAGTTTATATAATAATATATAAATTTAGATTTAGATTTTTATAAGATGAAACTATAAGATCTAGATTTTAGATTACTAAAAATAGTATGCTAAGGCCTAAAAAATGCTAAAATTGTTAAACTTCTAAATTAGACTTTTAGGCTATATAGCCTATAAATTCAATAGGTAACGACTAGAAATTTGATTATTTTCTAAAAATAGATACAAATTAGAGTATTTTTGTTCTACATTGTTAAGCTATAACTCCTCTATATAAAAAGATATATTAAAAAGAACTTGAAGGAGCAAAGATTGCGTTGTTGTCGCTACGGTCAGAAGTGCTGTATTGACAATCTGGTACGTATGGGCCTCCCTACCAGAGCTCCACTTCACAACACGTTCACATGCCAAAGTCCAACCAGCTCGCTTTCCCCGTAACAGACATTCGCTTGGCCGGAACCACTTCAGTATGACCTGTTGATAATCAGTAATACCGCTGCACCTTCAAAAGCGACAATGTCAGCACCACGCTCGCTCAAGTCGCCAGCCCTGGACGTCCCTCCCGAACCTCCCTTTAAACGCGTCAAGCTATCACCGCGTCCCGACTCACAGATCAACACATCGACGCCGAATTCACCGTCTTCAATCGCGCCCACAGCCGACCTCGCTGAACAGCTTGACGCCGCAGAAAGAAACAAATATGTCAAAGGCAAGAAGCTTGGCTCAGGTCAGTATGCCGACGTCTTCTCTGCACACCTCAAGACCGATCCCGCACAACTGGTTGCAATCAAGAAGATCAAGGTCGGGGCTGAAGCCAAGGAGTTCGGTATCTCATACGACAGTCTGCGAGAAATCAAATTCTTGCAAGAACTCAATCATCCCAACATCATCAAGTTGATCTCGGTCTACTCCACGAAAGGACAGAATCTGAATCTAGTTTTGGAACAGTTGCCGCAAGGGGATCTGCTGAAGTTAATACAAGATACGCAAAACATAAGCTATACGGCAAGCGATATCAAGGCTTGGATGCTCATGCTGATGCGGGCGATCTGGTTCTGCCATAAGAATTTCGTGCTGCACCGCGACATCAAGCCGAACAACTTGTTGATCGCTGCCAACGGAGAGATCAAATTGGCGGATTTCGGCCTTGCAAGAAGTTTTGCGGATCCATATCAACCGATGACGTACAATACCATCACGATCTGGTATCGACCGCCAGAGCTTTTCTTTCAGGCAAAGTACTATGGTGAGAAGGTCGATATCTGGAGCTGTGGATGCGTGTTCGCGGAATTGATCGCACGGGATGTGCTGTTTCGAGCGTGGCCGGAGAGCGAGATCAACATGATCAAGTTGATATGTGAGAAGGTAGGAACTCCGACCGATCAGAACTGGCCTGGGGTAGAAAAGCTGCCTGGCTACGTAATACCGGACGAGAAGTATCCTTTGCGAAGTAGGGATTACTGGGCAGGACCTTTCCGCGCGATCGGAGATGAGGGCATAGATTTGCTGATCAAGATGTTGACGCTTGACCCGAGGAAGAGATTCAGCGCAGAGCAGACGCTGAAACATGACTTCTGGACATCAGCTCCGAGACCTAGTAGACTAGAGGATCTGCCACGCAAGGGTGGTGGTGTCGAAGCCATGGGCGAGGACTTGAAGAGAAGGGGCGGAGAAGTCCCTGGCACGAAGGAAGATCGTGGCGATAATGTCGCTAGGAAGATCGACTTCGGTGCCAAAAAGTAATCCTTTCGAACTCCTCAGGGAAATGTACGATTGACGAGACCGATGAATGACTTGTACACTATTGGAAAATGGATGCATCCACAGAGCGTACGACCAGCGAGCATGGTAGTCTTTACTTAGACCTAGAATCTGATTGCCATCCCTCGTATGCCCTTCGTTGCTGTTAGGCCTTGGATACCTCGCGTTGAATTGTCGATAATCGAGGCCAATTATCCATAAGAAGGGTGGGTCTATTATAAGACAGTCCGGATACCGATAATTGAGTGACTTATCGGCGTCTATTATAAGACACTCCAATTATCGATAATTGAGGCCTTTAGACAGGTGTTTGCTACAAGCAGGCCTTTAGTAAGGTAGGCTTGCTTTTATAATTAAATTGCTAACTATCCGGTGCCTTATTCTCGTACGGCTCTATCTCCTTCCGGTTTAGTATATATACCTTGCTCTTCTTTATATAAATGCCTTCTTCGTATAGTTATCGCTATTACTATAGATTTAAACGACGCTAAAGACTTCGTACTATATCTATCGATCTATATAGTGCTATAGGTTCTTCGAATACTACTAGACGAGACGGAGCGACCGAGGTATCGACCGGCGGGTATAATAACGACTCTCGTAGCGCTAGAGTTAGGCTCGTAGTAGACGTAGATAATGCTTATTAGACCGCCGGAATACTACTATACGACGACGAGGCTTCGACAACCTGTTCTAAAGGCACTTATTAGTACTCTTATAGAAGAATATAACCTTACTAGAGGTTAGCGAATTAGTCTAGCTAAGTAGGTAGTTATATTCCTTAATATAGCCGCTTATAGCTACAACAACCGCTAATTACGTAGGATATATTAGTACTCGTTATTAGGTTATAGAAGAGCTGTCTATAAGATTAGTCGACTATTATATACGTTGTTTAGAGATAAGGCGCGGTAGCTAAGCGAGGCAATAACGACCTTATAAGAGGTAACTAATAACCCTAAATTCTAGCTATATTTCTCGGATTGTATTAGCGCACTAGATAGCACTTATATACTATTTAGAGCCGTAAAGATATCGAATGCTAGCGCCTATCGTAACCGTAAAGGCGGCGTCTCGTAGAATGTATTAGCGTGCTATAACTTCGAAGGAATAATTACTTATATATTACCTAGATAGGAGGGCTCTACGGCGGACGGTACGGTGCTATCGACGGCTATTCGAGGTAGATTAAGGATACCGAAAGGGCGATATTATCTCGCTAATAGCGGCTATTCGAAGAACCTTAAGTATATGCTAGTGCCGTACTAAAGGACATAATATTACCTTCGCGAATAGTACGCTTCTAAGATAAAGCCTAAGCGGAAGGAAGAGTTGTTTAATCTACGCTATTCTCAGCTCCGTAACTATATCGAGCGGCGATTTGGTATATTAAAAGAATAATAGTAGATCTTTAAGAATAGTCCGAATAAGGGCTATACTTTACTCTAGTAGGCACGGTTTGTAGTCGCTATTTACGCCTTAAACAACTTTATAGTCTCTTATTATTAGACGCTCGAAACTAAGGACTTCTTAGTAGTACCGCCGGATAGAGATATTGGATTTAATAAGAATAACGTCGTAGAAGACGAGGTCGCCGAGATTGATCGCTAATCGATAGAAATAAGAAGCAAGATATCGGTATTTAGAGACAAAGTCGCAACTTTAATATAGCGAGAATATATAGCGAGACAAGAGGCTAACGATCCGTACGAAGATGATTAATTAATAGCGGAGAGTCGTAGTTAGGGGTATACGATAGTAGAGCGGCGTTCGAAATCGCGGCAGCGTTCGGTATAATAGAGTCTTAGCGGTTTTTCTTACGTTATAGCGGTGTTTATAATGCTATCCGGAACTTTAGATAGATCTCGAGCGCGTTATTGTTATCGTCGTCGCCTATCCGAGGCCTCTAATATCTAAAAGCGGGTATATCCGAGCTTAGCGTCGAAATCCGATAGTTATTGCTATATCGCGAATGTACCTATAACAATACCACTATTTTTTTATTGTGTTTTAGTTAGTTAAGAGTTCATTAGCAGACGCTTAATATAAAAAAACAACGAAGAAAATTGGTTATGCCGTTGTTAAGGAAACTCGTAATAAAGTCAAAATTTATAGTTTTTACTAAGCTTAGATCTTAGCTTTATATATAGCCTTACTTAGAGGAAAACACAGCTTGTTTTCAGGACGATAATATATCTAAGAATGAACGTAACGGTAACTTCGGGGGCCGTTCTAAGATCTTTGTGTAAAAAGTAATAATACCTTCTTCTAAATTTATAGTATAGACAACCCTATAATATTCTAAGAAATGTAGTCTCTCTAGCAATATTCTCCGCCTTATTTACTGCTATAGGTACCTATTCTAAGTGCTAAACTCTAGCTCCTAGAGCGACGGCAACGACTGTCCCCCGTTGCTATAATACAACTATTAACCCGGGTAATTAAACGGCATGTTTTAAGGGGCTATTTAACTTAGAATTAGTAGCATTTGTTAGGTCGGAGGGTCGATACTATACTTAGAAACAGGCCGGATAGGTACCTTAACCGTAGGAGTTAGCGTCGACTTAGGCTCTTCTAACTCTTAATTATCTACCTTCGCTCTCTTCTTAATTAAATACTTTAACATCGCTTCGAGATTACTATCCGGATATCTAAGTATACGTCTAGCTGTTCCTTCGTTCTCGAGTAGGTTACCGAGCGCTATTCGCTTCGCAAATAGTAGCTTTTAAATGCCTTCGTAGTTTATAGCTTTCCGAGTTGTAGCTATTATAACGGAGTCCTTTAGTTTAGAAGATAACTGCCTACTAGCGCTAATAGAAGCTATCGCTCTTTGTAAAGGCTTCTCAAGACTGCTAATAGTAGCGCTTATATAATCCTTAGTATAGCTCCGAGGCTTAGGTGTATTATTATCCTTCTTCTTTTTCGCGCTAGTAACGGCTTACTTCTATAGTAATAGCGGACCTCGCTTTCTGCCTCTACTAATACTACTATCGATACTCTAAGAGCGACTTATTAGTACGCTCGGAGTCTCTCGTTCTTTATTAGATCTAGGCTATTCTTCTTCGGTTACTATAACCTTATCCTCGACAATCTCGTTACGAGCCTCTTCTTCCGTAGCTATCGCTAATTTAGCTACCTCTATTACGCCTTTACCTATCGCTAATTGATTACTAAACAATACCTCTAGTAGGTTATAGCAGTCTAGCAAATTCTCTTTAAATACTAGGTAGTCCGGATACGCCTTATAATAGGCATCTTCTACCTCTTCTTCCGTATAAGGCGGCTAACCCTACTATCTACTCGTCCTTCTAAGGTACGCTTTCTACTTCTTCTATAATAGCCGGAAAGTATTAAACTTGTTGCGTACCTACTTAGAGGTAATATTAACTTTAAACCTAGTATTTAGCTCCTTTAAGATCTCTAATAAGTCGCTTTCCGGAAAGCCTTAATTGTCGTTCTGCCTCGTAATACGCTCGATAAGCGCTTCTACTTAGTATAGCCTCTACCTATTCTTCGGTCTAGTTATACGGCGCCTACCTTACCTTCTTCTTTACCTTATCGCTCGGCGCTTTCTTCGACCTCTTTAACTTCGAGGCCTTTAGCATAGACGGGTCTACCTGTTTCGGCGGCATCGAGAAGCAATAGCAATATCTACTACTATATAATAGAACGAGAGGCATCGACAATTATATAAAGGCAAGAATTAGGTTACGAGAATACTAAGACGCTAGCGGAAAGCGATAATTTAATAATTAAGATTAGATACCTATAAGAGGTATAAGACACGCTACAATAAGACAAGAGACGATAATTGAGTATCTTCTGGATAATCAACGACTTATTGACAATTCAACGCGAGGTATCCAAGGCCTTAGACTTCCTACGTAGCTGCCCAAAGGGCTCAATTCAAGTGCCAAGCAAAACGAAGGAGCCGAATACGAGCTTGCATCTGCTCGTCCTCAACGTCCCATCTTCTTCGCCTTTCACGGAACACAACAATGAGCCCTCCTCGGTCGGCTCCAAGCATGAAATCGCTGTGACTCTGTTCTTTATATGCCGGACCAGCAGTAAACGAGTACAGTGAGCCTGCGCTCGTCTTTGCCACTGCGTTCGCTTATAGCACTCCTTCATCGCGTCTAGCCTCGACTCCTAAGTAGGGCATCTCAAAACATCGCCGAGACACTCTCTATCAGATCACGCACTTCTTTCTGGCGGAGATATATAACCTGATAGATGCCTCCCTCTCACTGACAGATTCTTAGCTGGGAAGCTATATACTGACTAGAGTCGACAGAGCTGAACTAAGACGCTCCGCAGCCGCAGCTCCCGCCTTGCAGTGATCATCGTGAGCTAAGGAGGACAAGCTCGCAAGCTACAACAAGAGCAACTCGATCTCCCTTATGTAGTTGACCTCAGCTTCTAGAACCGACAGTCCATATCGGCTCGCGGCTGTCAAATTTACTGGAACGGCAAAGATGGCACTTGCAGGACTAGAAGAGCTTGACTCAGTCGAGATTCTGGTTATCATTGACAATGAGCTGGACCCGATCTCGCCATGTCCAAGTCCAGAAGTCCAATATTCTGGTGGCGTCAGAGAGATTGCTTTTCGCAACCCAGCATTCGAGCCCAAAGCAGGTGGTGGACCAATCCGCGAATTGAAAATGGAGGAGATCTGTTGCAGTGCTCACGGTCTCTCGCTCATGATCACTGGTTTCAAAGGCGAGCAGCGACATACGATCCTCTTCGATGCTGGTCCAGAAGGTCGTGCGTTTGAGCTTAATGCGAAGCGCCTACGTGCTGACCTCGGATCTATCGAGACAATTCAACTTTCGCACTGGCATCGCGATCATTCGGCTGGCATTGAGACAGCTTTGAAGCTCATTGGAGAGGCTCGTGCCAAAGAGCTTGAGCGAAAGAGGTCTACACCAGTCACTGTTGATCTTCATCCAAACAGGCCAGAGCTGCGAGGTGTTCATGCGCCTGGTATGGAGCCTGTGGCTTTATCACCAGACCCAACCTTCAAAGAGATCGAAACAGCAGGTGGCAAGGTGGTCAAGAATGATCAACCACATCTTGTGCTTGATGGGATGTTTGCTGTATCTGGCGAGATACCAAGGCTGACCGACTACGAGAAAGGAATGAAGTTTGGCGCCAGACTGAGCAAAGGAAGATGGATCGAGGATGAAACATTGATGGATGAGAGACTCCTCATGTGCAAGATTAAAGGTACGGAGATGAACACTTCCTCACTCGGTGAGGTGACAGCTGACATATGATAAAGATAAGGGCGTCGTCGTCTTCACGGGCTGTAGCCACGCTGGTGTGGTCAACGCATCTCGACACGCTGTGGAGCTGAGTGGTGGTGCTCCATTGTATGCTGTTATGGGTGGCTACCACCTAGCGGACGCAGAACACACCAGAATCCAGAGCACAGTGGCCGATCTGAAAGCATTGAACGCAAAGCTTTTACTTACAGGTCACTGCACTGGGTGGCGGGCCAAGTTTGAGGTAGAGAGGCATATGCCCGGGCGCTTGGTTCCATCCTTCGTTGGATCCAAGTTCGTCCTTGCAAGGTCAGTCTCAGCTCAACGATCGCGAACGGAAAAGCTGATGACTTCAGATAGGACACAATCTAAAGACGAAGCGGCTTCCTGTACTATCGCATAGATCGTGAAATCAATTCGTGACGATGCAGGCCTTTCAAGACGGCGGCTCGGCAAGTATTCGTACATCTTTTGCATCCTTCTAATCATGCATCATAGGCAGGCAGGGCTGAGATGCAAAAGATGCTTGATTGTCAGAGAGGGCATCTAGTCTCCTCTTAAGTAACTATGATGATTGCTACGTGAGACACACACATGCAGTTTGACACACTGTCTAGAACAAACAACTATCTGCGCTGTTTCCTCACACGTCATATTGGGCTCGAGAAGTGATCTAGTGTCGATCGTAGCAAAGCCGTATCCCAAAACGCCGCTCCTTCCACCTATATCGTCCTCTAGATCGATTGACGCAAGAACAGTATTGGTCGAGCCACTCGATGACTTCGTTCCGGTAGGGAGGTTCGTTATTAGATCAGATCATACAGCCCTACCGGCGACTTTGATAGGGCTGCTTTGGGTTCGCATTCTCCTGAAACCCCTCTCTTCCCATTGCCCGACAGCGCCATGCCGTCCTCAATCAAGCCGAGTAATAATGCGTCGTAATTTCGAAAACATCGGGGCAAAGAACGCTTTGCGACTGTTCTCGTAGCTTCGTTCTCTCATGTTGTCGATATCGTTTCAGCCGACTGCTTCCGCCGTATTTGCAAGGCATTTTTTAGAGCCTTGAAGCGGTTGAACATGAGCAAAGACGTAGGATCACCTCAGTTGGAGCGTGTCGTATAGTAATGTATTCGGAAGTCCAGTTGAAGTGCAGAGAGTGGCTTTGCGTTGAAGTGCTGAGGACACGCTTTGCCTAACCCTATCTTGGCACTCAGCCTGACGGAGAACGAGTTCTTGTGAATGTCCTCAGATGGTACCACACCATTCTGGTGTCTATGATCTATGCAGATCTACCAAAATACGAAGTCTCTCCATTGCACGTCGAGCTTCTAGAGAACCGCGTCGCGAACCCTATCGCACATCGCACTTATCATCCCAACCTCCAAGACGCACAATTGCATGGTGAAGATATTTGACTACCTCCATTCAGGCGCTTCGTGCACGTGACCGGCCTGCCGGCTTCGTAAGCGAAGCGCCTGAGGATAAACCGTTCTTAGTAGGTGCGGCTGCAGCTAAGGAATACGAAATTCGTCCGCTTGAGGGCAACGATACGACAACGGCGTATTTAGCAGGTTCAATTATATAAGAATGCACCTAGATATTGCAGAGAAGAAGAAGCGCGTCTTTATTGTAGAGAATATAGACGAGAATTAACAAAATTATCTCTCGTAAACGTGTTTTACTGTTTGTAGCTATCTCGAAGCGTCTCTGCCCTCCGAGGCGACGACGAGGCAGCTAGTCGCTTAGAACTAACGCGACAAAGCAGAGGGTGCTGTCCTTAGCTTCCTCTAGAACCTCTCGCGTATAATTTGTCGATGTTCGTACAATAGTATTGTCGTATACCGAGCGAGGGCTACCGTCGCAATCTGAGGCCTGCCTTATACGCTAAAAGTCCCGGAAATACCGTATATTTTGTCCGCCTCTTGTATTGATCTTTCTGTATATATTATCTGCTCGAGCCTCGACTATATATCGAGGACGATAGTCGTGTTTAATATTTTATGTTGTAGAACAGAACGGTTTGTCTTCAGGCCCTCGCAAGCGAGGCGGCTGTTCCAGCCAAGCCTTGCTGCCTGAGGGCCTGAATGGAGGTAGATATTTGACATCTTATTCGCTCGTCGAAATCAACATCTCCAGTCGTGGGAAGCTCTCCGGTAGCGATAAAATTTCTGCCATCACCGTCGTCCGCGAATTTCCGATTCGTGATGGCGCCTAAATTTCCACTTCCGTGTCTCAACTTCTGGCTGTGGAGATTGTGCTTATCGTTCGCACGGGTTCTACCGAGTTCGGAAAACTTGGAGATGTTGGAGTTGTCGCAGTCTCGTTTGTAGCTGGGGAGATTGTGCTAATCGGTCGCACGGGTTCCACCGATTTCGGAAGACTTAGATAGGTTGAAGTTGTCAGAGTCTTATTTGTAGCCGTAGAGACTGTGCTAATCGTTCGCACGGTTGTCATCGATTTCGGAGAGGTTGAAGTTGTCACAGTCTTACTTGTGGCTAGGACGATCGTGCTAATTGTTCGCACGGGTTCCATCGATTTCGGAAAACCAGGAGAGTTTGAAGTTGTCGCATTCTCACTTGTGGCTAGGGATATTGTGCTAATTGTTCGCACGGGTGCCATCGAAGTCGGAAAACTTGTCGAAGTTGAAATCATCTCATTCTGTTCCGTGGAACTTGAGGTCTGTGATTGTACGGGTATCATCCAACCAGGATGATCTGTAACGATTGGAGTTGTCGGAGTCTCTTTTGTGGAGCTTGAGGTCGTGACTCGTGAAATCCAATAAGGAAGACGTGAAGGGGTGAACGTAGGAATGTATTCACTTGTGGATTTGGTTGTTGTTCGTACGGGCGTCATCCATTCAGGAATACCTGTTTCGATGAATAGTGTACCTGTGGCATGTGGTGTCAAGGCTGACACCCGAATTGGTGAAGGGACTGAGCTTGTGGTCACATTCGGGCTCTCTGTAGATAGCGATTCTGTTTCCGTAGGTAGTGTATCTATGACATGTGGTGTCAAGGTCGACACCAGAATTGGTGAAAGGACTGAGCTTGTGGTCACGGTCGGGCTCTCTGTAGATAGCGATCCTGCTTCCGTAAGGAGTGTACCTGTGAAATGTGGTGTCAAGGTCGACACTCGAATTGGTGAAAGGACTGAGCTTGTGGTCACGGTCGGGCTCTCTGTGGATAGCGATTCTGCCGAGGCCAGGAGGCCTCTAAGGGCTGCTCTGCGGAGTTGCATGGTATCAGAAAAGTGTCTATGGGATCGGATTTCATTGCTGTCGTTGTAGTGAGAGTCTAGAGATTAGAGACAAGGGAAATGTGAGCTTATGTATCGTTTTTTGAATGTCCTCAGTTAGCAAGGATTCGGCATTTTGACGAGTAAAGTCTCTTCCAAGATTGTTTACCTTACTCAGCATTTTCACAGCTTACACCTCTCTTATGTAACATTTGTGATTGGAGGCAGGTTTCAGAGGATCTATCGGACCTTGAAGGAAGGAACGAGCATTATCGAGCGCAGATCCGCTTCAAGTCCTTATGCGCTTCACTCTCCTGCCGTGTTTTCTGCCATCTCCCCGTCTTCCTCGCCCACTTTTCCCTGCGGCTCTTCGATCTCCTTATCCTCTTCCGTTTCCTTCTCCATTGCATTCTCCTTTACCTTCTGCTTGCATGCTCTTGCAGGCTCGAAGATCCAATAGCAGACTGGGTATAGCACAAATCTGCCCCACAGCAATGCTCCCACCACCTAGACAGCATTGCGGTATGAGAAGTGATTGAAACCAAGACACCTAATAGGTTCGTCAATCACCGAAAGGAACTGGACCTATCCAGTTGTATTTCAGTGCGATGAAACGCTTTCTTGCCAAGCATTTGGAAAAGAGCAAAAGCGCCGATCTTGGACTATCTCGACCATTATGTAGTCGAGATATTTCATTAGTCGCATCACAGATCCGGGTTGATATGCGGCTTGAACTTTTTCGCAGCGCGGTCAGGTGCTCGACTTCTGAACTGGTCGCCATGAATCTCAAACACAAGTGGCTGCTTTCCAGATACATCACCTTCTTCTAGCGGCACCTGGAACTTGAATATGGTATGCTCTTTGGGCACTGTCTTCAACTCGTTGCGCTTGGTGATGACTTCAAACGTAAACTTGGTGTCCTTGACCACAATTCCTTGCAGTCCAACTCTGCTAACGCATCTGCTTCTCACGACCTCGATCAAAGCGCCGTGATAGTCTGCTGAGGCTAGAATAGGTCCGCCACCTTTGGCGTCGACATATGCGCGGCCATTTTTTAGGCCAAGAATGTCGCGCATGTACTCGCACCACATGCTGTGAAGAGGTTCGTAGATGGCATATTTTTGTTGCGATTTTGGTATGTCATAAATGCATAGCGCCCGCTTTGCTTTTGCAGATAATGGCTTTGGTTTATTGGAGCGCTTTGCCTTCGCCTTTTGCAGTCGTTCGTGTTGGCGCTTTGCGCGCGCGTTGAGAGTCGGGTCTGGTGAGGACGGTCGAAGCAGAAGCGGTCGCTGTTTGACTCTTTCGCGGAATATCGTCTCGGCATTCTCTGGGTGGGCGCGTTGCAGCAGCTCTTCTGCTACGTGTTCAGGCGGCTGCGAAGCCATTCTCGTTGTTATGTCACATCGCGCTCGTGGAATGTCGAAACCAAAATGGCGAGTGAAGTGCGGTAGGTCAGCATGGAGAAAAGTTGATGACTCAGCCGGATTGATGACTCAGCCGAATTGCTGACTCAGCCAAATTGCTGCCTGAGAGGTCACACGGCAGAACAGCGTCTTACTTGCATCAAAACATCACAATGCAGTCTTTCGTCACTGATACCGCATCAGCATATCTCGCATAGCTGGGTCAATTCTGATCCTTGGGCCAATATCGAGACGATAACGAGAACAAACAGTATCAGAGGACCAAGGAAGCAATCGATGCATACCTCCGAAAGAAGTCTTCCATCAAGGCGAAGGACCTAGGCATCTGGATCGATTACGCCCGAAGACAACAAAATGCCAGGTATTGCCGCGTTATTCTTGCAAAAACAGTGCCGACAACTTTTCTAGGGTACGCTTACAGTCCTGGGCTTGCCTGCCAGCAATCAGAACGTGGTTGGATCTCACCATTTTTCGAAAGAGAATTGCTTCTGAAGGGAAATCGTGCCCTCTACGCTGATTGCTAGATACCAGATGGCTGCCTGCAATATTCGATCACCGCTCACCTGATTCTCATGCCGAGCTGAAAGTCGAATTCAAAGCGCCATATTTGATATTCGAGAACGTCACCGACGCATCTGGGTGATCAGCCTCCACAGTTTCCGGAGCGCCACTTGCTGCGTCGCATGTTCCCCTCTTGACTCCCGGTCCTGTTCCATCTGTCGGATAAGTGGAGTCCAGCCACAGCATTGATGCGGCATAGTCATCCCAAATGGAGAGAACGAGCACCATTCCTCTTTCGAACGCATCGCCCATCGCCGCGAGCCCACCACGGGCATCGAAGCTGTTCGTGTCACCGAATGCGGTCTTCTGTTGCTCGCAGAAACCTTCTGTGATGCTGTTGGTTGTATCGACGCCGGAGACATCGCTGACAGAATTCTGGATTACTGTTCCACCTTGAACGTAGATACGCCTGATCTCGGATAAGGTGCCGGTATCAGTACCATCATCGGTAATGAACTGGGTCACGACTGTGAAAGTCGAGCTAGTGTCGACGATACTGCCCTCGCCGTAGAAGCTCTCATTACCCATTCGGTAGGAGTTGAAGTCGCAGCCATCCTTGTCACAAATACCATCATACCTCAAATCACCAGCACCGCATGTCTCGGTGGAATTGCAGGCCGTGAGACCAGTACCGTTGCAAGGATGAGGCGTGAAAGCAGCAGAGATCGAGTTCGCTTCCCAAATGTCCATCTCGGCGCAGCAAGCACCTATCAAACCTGTCCCGGAGCTCGGATCGCCAGTCGATGGTGTCCAGTCCACGATATTGGCCTACAAGAATATTAGTAATCGCTCACCACCGACCGAGTGATTCTCCACCGCACGAACCTCTCCGTTGATAAATTTCACGTCTTGAGGACATTGCGCATCACAGTACCCAGTACCGTACTTGGCGCCGGCCTTGTTGTTCTCATACGCCGACATCCCTCCGTCAGCAGCCATTTCAACGAAATACAAAGCGCCATTCAGCCCGCATGGGAGCTTCGAGACATCGACATCGAACGTGAACTCTTTGTTCTTCAGATTAAAAATTTTGTATGCTTCTCCACTGGCGTCAAGCAAGTAGTTCCTGGATCCGACATTGGCGCCAGTAACGAAGGTCAAAGATAGCGACCCATCCTCAGGTGTCGTGATGCCGTAGGTCGAGGAGTAGTCCGCGCCGTCCACGGCGCAGGACTGCGCACAGACGCTGGGAGATGTGCAGATTGAGGTGTCCCACTCATTGCCTGTGTAGCAGTTCGTCGATCCGTCGACGGTGTGTGTCCAGCGCCAGTTTGCGTCGAGGGTGATGGAGGTGTCCAAAGTGGAACAACCCGAGGCTGTACATTCGGAGATGGGCAGGGCAGGATGCGTTTCTGCCGTGTTTGTCCCCGCTTGCTGAGCGCTGACTCCTGCGGCGAAGAGAAGCGAAAGGACTGCGGCTGAAGACATGATGCGAACGAGTGACAAGAAAATCAAGGAGTGGATGGCTCAGATCGACTGACCGAGGAAGCTTGACGAAAGAAGCGCACATAGGCGAGCAGTCTTGGATATTCTTATGGGATCTTGAAAGGGACGAAACAATGATTGGGTCAATCTCCGCTTCTTTATGAAGTCTTCGAAGCGCTTGTGAGTATGAGCTGGAGGTACTAACGTTGAGGCTGCCTTCTGGACTTCATGTAAATTGAGTAACCAAACGAGCGACAACGGTAAACACCGCCTCTAATGGCAGTACATACACAGCGCGCCGGTAGTGCAACGCGCAAATGGGAGTTGACCCGGTTCGTGGTGTTTGCGATTTGCTTTGAAAGGCTTCGCTTCCAGGAGTTCATTTATCCCATACAGCGGATATATGCTTGGCGGTCTCAGATCTAGACCTCACTCATCATTGATCTAAAATTCAATGTAAAGGCAGCTTTTGAGGACGACGATCTGCGAGCGCTCAAAGAGAGCATCGAGAAGAACGATTAAGTGTTTTCCAAGTAGATGCTGTTGTGCTAGGTGGACAGCACTAGTCCATTTCTGGCTGTCTCATGCAAACAGCCGATGCTGTGCTATCCCGGCTCGACGTCGTGTCTCTCGCGATGGAACTGGCGTAGGCATACTTGAGAGTAACAGCACATCCCGTCAGCATTCGATTTGAGAAAGCGCAATACCGTTCGAATGGACGAGCCATTCAAGGACTTAACCTCTGAATCTTCCACTCCCCCCTCTCATCTTTCGAATACTGAAATCGGTCATGCAACCTACTCGGTCTTCCCTGCCAAAACTCCACAATCTCAGGCTTCACCCTCAACCCACCCCAAAACTCCGGAACCGGAATCTTCTCCTCCCCTTCAAACCTCTCCTCAACATCCCTAACCCGCTGCTCCAACTCCTCCCGATCCTTCAACACCAGACTCTGCCGACTCGCCCAAGCCCCAATCCGACTCCCTCGAATCCTCGTATCATAATACATCTGACTCTCCTCAGAAGACAACCTCTCCGCCGGCCCCTCAACTCTAACCTGTCGTTCCAATTCCCGCCACCAAAACGTCAGCGCAGCATAAGGGTTGCTCTCGAAATCCTTCGCTTTCCGCGACGTGCCCCAATTCGAATATATCACGAAACCCCGGTCGTCCATTTCTTTGAGGTAGACCATTCGCGCCGAGACTTTTCCTGAGGGGAGCGTGGCGGTGGAAAGGGTTACGGTTTCGGGTTGATGGACTCCGGATTCGTTCGCGTGTTTGAACCATGTGGCGAATTGTTTGAATGGTGAGGCGTCGAGTTGGGATCCGTCGAGCGAGCCTTTTGTGTATTGTTCGGCTCCCAGACTGCCTTCTTTCACGCCGGGGGCGAAGATGGCTTTTTGGTGGGACATTGTTCGGAATGTGCGGGATAATGGATGTGCCGGTTGGATGGTGCGCAGCATATGTATGTCTGTTCTTCTGATTGGAGTGGACTTTTTCGCAATGCTGTGATATGTCTCCTGATCGTTGCGACTCGGGATGATCTCACCACTTCCATGGCGACTTTTGGCTTTTGCCAAGCGTTGGGGCTTGGCGTTTCTCTCACTCCCCTCGCGAACTTTTCTTCTCCTCCATCACTGCCTCAAACCGCCAGTGCCGTACAGAAGCGGTGCTGGACCTAGAAGATCACACATACTGTTCAGCATAACGAAGCAATCGGATCTCGACATGCGTTGACACTCAGAAGTACCGGTTAGGAACCTCTACACTACCATGGCGTTACTCTCGGTCGCTGCGTTGTGACCTTCTTTCCCTGGATCAGGAATTGACGAGCTCCACCTACGAGGCCAAGGCGAGAAGTCCGGTCCGGTTTCAGCAACAGATAATGCAGTCAAAGACTTCAACATGGAGGCGACTCATGCGAAGAGCGACTCGTGCGCTGTGATTTCAGTAGCTCGACCCTACTTCGGAGATAGACGTGTCTGCTTCGTTGGTTTTCGGAGTACTAGGGTGGAATGTTGACGGACGCCTCTGTACGAATCATGCTCTATCGCAAAGAGTTCAGCAGCTCCTCACGAGCCAGGACGAGAAAGACGAGACATTCTGCCATGTGATGTTGAACAACATCTGCCAGCTTTCGCCCAGCATTTCATTCATTCCATTCTTATATAGCGCTCTCTTCCCGGCGAGCAAGTCTGCTTATATCTGCTATAAGATCTACCCGGTCTTGATAATTCGATGTTCCATTGGGTTTTATTGTTGTAGCAAGAGGGTGAATTATCAAGACTAGCGCAGGTAGGTACTGTAATACAAGTCTAGGGGAGGCGAAAGTCTGCTTGCAATGGTTAGAATAGCGTTTCGATGCCTTGGCGACCTGGGAGTCACTCACATCGCATAGGAAAGCTCCTGCGTAGGCACTGAAAGGGGGCTTGACACATGGCCCAGCAACCCCATAAAGCGTAACCGAGCGCACACACCTCATACTGGATGCAAAACTCATGGATGAGAAAGAACAGGACTCGAGCTTTGACTTTGCAAGAGAAGGCGTAGGACTTCGTACCTATTCAAAGTACATTACAAAGGCGGCAAACCCAGAATCTGCAAAGCCTGCGCAAGGTTGCCGTTGGAAATGTTCAGTGCACGTACGGCAGCAAGCTGTACAACGCCTAGAAGCTTCAACTGGTTGGTCAACGCCGGCCACGGGCTGTCTCCGAGCGTGATGGTGCTATTAAAATCCTGTGCGACCTGACGCTCCTCCAGCTCCGAATGAGCCTCGTCCGCGTCCCGCTTGGCCATATTGTACGAGGTCCCATAGACGCTGTTACCAAGAGTGCCAACCCATTTCCAGGGCTCGGACATATTGTCGTTTCGGCCGGCGTCCCAATACTCCCAGCCATTTGTGCCTCCGAATTTGCTCCCGTAGTTGGCTTGCAGTGTGGCAATGACCTTTTGATATGTTGCGATGGGTTTCCATCCCGAGCCACCATCGTTTTGCGCGGCGAGCAAGTTGAAAGCAACACGGTTGGCGGCGTAGCCATTTTTGACAATTGCGTTGTAGCCGTTGACGGTACTGGCGTCGCCCCAGCCGTTGTAGAATTGAGGATTGAACCAGTTGATTAGTTTTCCGTTGGGCTTTGTGGATGAGGTTGCTTTGGAGTCGAGTGTTTTGTAGGAGAAGCCACCCAGACCTGAAACTTAGTCAGGATTGAGGAGTATTGATATTTCCTGAACCACTTACCGTATCCACTGGGTTGTAGTTCTGAAGCTACTGGTGACATGGTAGTGATGAAGCTCGAACCGAAATCTTTCGCGAGCCGTTGGAGAAGCGCGAGAGGACATGTGTATGCCACTTTCTCTTCAATGTCCAAATCGATGCCATCCAACTTGTGGTATTTCAGCTCATAATATAGAGCTTTGTAATATGTCTCGTTCTAATTTTTCGTCAGAGGAGGCATGAGTAGTGTCACATGCTACTTACTACAATGGTATTCGAAGGTCCGCTACATAGTCTTGGGTAGCTGCCGGCTCTGGTATGCATGTCAGTTCACTCTTATCACACATCGGGGAAGAGCACTTACGCGGCGCCGCCCATCATGTAGAGCACCTTTACGCCTTTCGATTGAAGCTGTGCAGCTTCCTGCCAAACTGTGGAGAAGACCGAGTTGTTCGGATTATTGTCGTTGAGCGTGATAGCGTTCGGATCCGAATTGATATGTAGCGATGACAGATAGACATGAGTGATTTGCGTGGGGTTCGAGATCATAGGCAGAAGAGAGAATTGGTTGGTATCCTGATAGCGTCTAAAGGTCTGCACGTATGCCAACAGTCGCGGAGGGTTGTACGGATCCGAAGCTGCTCTTTGATTTAAGGATACTTCAGCGGGAAGACATGATGCTATGCCCAGCAGAGCTGAAAGAGCGAGTGACGTCCGCATTGTACGAAATGCGTGTGAAAAGATTGAAAAGTGAATGAATGGTAAGAGTCAGTGATACCTACCACGCCAACGGGGGCCGCAGCTCTTATGTCGAGAAGGCGTCACCGTGAAGAGAGTCAGGTGCGGACGGCAACTGAACCGTCTCAACTGCGCTGATGAGCGCTGAGCGGCTATACATTGGCATTCTTCAGATAAATCCAGGACGGTGGCTTGCGCTGTTCTACGCGCTCCTGAAACAATTGCTGGAACCGGTCGGACAGATCGGCAGTGCATATTCGCTTGCGCTGAGCTTCGGCACGCATTTGGATGGTATGGCGTTTTGCCACGGGATCCAGACGCAAAAAGAGTTTGTGGCTGCAGTCGAGGTGTTTCCGCCTTTTCGTCCAGCTGATCAAATAAGGCCTATTCTATGCGCCGAGACTGGTTGATCAAAGAGGCACATAGCGATTTGGGCGAAGTTCTCGCTTGGCCGTACAACGTCGCCTTATGCTTATTTCCGGATAGATCGACGCCTAAATCCTATATATCGTTAGTATAATAGTCCGGACTCTGTATTGTGTAGCTGTAGTAATGATTGTAGTGTCGAAGGACGAAGTCGAGACCCGGCGCCGCGAATGCCGAGATATTCTTGTGCTAGATTGAGACTGCCCTCTACTACACTACATCGCCATACGGTTGATACTACGATAGAATAACGCCGATTCAATCAACTGACAACGAGACTGCCGAGACAGAATAAGCTCTGTTTGATCAATCATTTAGGCTAGTGGGCCGTATTTAACCTGATAGGCCCTGGGCGGTCACAGAGACCGTGAGTGAATCCTCCGGTAGGAATGCCTAGCCTCAGCTCTCTTCGGGGCGCCTCTTGCACTTTATTATTAGGCCATGTGGAAAGGTGTTGCTGGAGTATTATTGAGACGGGCTGTCTCGGTCTCGCCGTTGCTGACGGAATGTAGACACTGTCAAGAAGGCTGATAGTTGATGATGGAAAAGCAGGATCAGCAGCAGGAGCGAAGAATCAATGCCAGCGACCGGGATCGAGCACACAGGGAGCGGACTCAGGTCCGACAACATCATCCTGACCGCGTCTCTGCCCTGCCCTGCCATTTATCCTAGCAACACGGTCTTCGCCGACTAGAAGGGTCCGTTCGGTGATTCATGGAGCGTACCAATTCATGATGGCGTAGACAGCACGGTGTAGATTCCGTCCATCGCCAATATACTCGAACACCACCGCTTCTTCCGAATCCTCGAACCATGGTTCCACTTGACTCCGCGATCCTCCTCCAGTATGCTAGTCCTAGGAGCGAAGATAGTCGAAGGACAAGGGGCGAAGTAATGCTAAGAGGTGGTATAGAAATCGGTGGCGAAGCCGACGGACAGCATGATTCCTAAGGGGCACTGCTGGGGCACTGAGACATATGGTTTTTGGCTCACGACAGCGAAGAGCAGGTTAGGCGCGGGTCTCGCTCCTAGTCACAGTCCAGGATTGGAAGTAGAGAAAAACAGTCGGTGCAGCTGGAGTTCGATAAGCAAGAGCTTGTTGCAGGCACAAACAAAACGTTAGCACCTCGTCTCTGCCTGAAGTGGCATCATGCTCAGATGATCTCACACGAGGGAACATGAGTCGACACTCTGCACATGGCGAGAAAACGGCATTGCAATTACATTCTGCCGACCTATAGGAAAGTCCACGAATCATTCTGCTGGACCCGCTGCACACTACACGCTGCCCAGTGTCCCGTCCTTCTGTGATATCACAGCTGATCTTCGGATCTGTCAGCAGACTGAGCTCGTGAGCAAGGGGGACAAAAACGCTACCTTCGCCAGCGTCAAGGAACTCGTCGTCAATGACTGATGAGAGGCCGGAAAAGTCATCTTCATCCTCTTCCACGGCCTCCTGTACGGTTATAGGTGCTAGAGCCTCTCTCTTGATTTTTCTGGCTCGCTTTGGCGTGTCCTCGCCACTTTGCACAGAATCAACATTGTCTTCTCTGCGACGCTTCTTGGAAGTGCTGTCACGCTTTCGGGCTTTGCCGTTGCCCGTATTGCAGCTGATTGCGTCTGTGGGCATCTCGAGTTCTCCAGAGGCTGCCAGCAACTTAGTCCTGACCCGATTCCAAGCATTCATCGCCGATCCAAGATTTGTGTAGCCAGCGCGAGCTGCCAGCTTCTTGAAGTTGACCTTTGGGAAGCCACCTTCAAAGCAGTGACATGCATCGGAGAGAAGCCGCATGTCATTTATGGTCAGCTCATTGCCTCGAACACCCATTGTGAATTTCTGCAGCGGCAGGACTTTGGACAGCTGATTCAAAATCGATCCTGAATGAGCTGGAGAAGAGGCGATGGGCGATGGGCGATGAACACTGCGAATATATGCTTGTCGCAGGGCCGACCCTGAGCGACTAGCTGGATATCTTTTCGCCACACGCCCGCAAAGCTCGTTCATTCCTTCTCTCGCCGTCCGGCCAATCGCGCTGATAAGAGAGGACAGAGCTATCAGCGACATGAACGTTCTACCTGCTGCTACGCAACCCTCGTCCAACAATGGCACTTTCGCCTTGCAGTGCCTCCGCGACAACTTGGCCATTCGTCCCCTCGTATGCGTAGCTGCGACTACCCGTAGATGATCTGATCATCAGCAAATCCAGACCGCAAGGATCGCACTATACTTCATAACGCGTGGCGTGACAGGTCTCTTTGCAGCAAGAGAAGAAGCGCTCCAATTGCGAATGATAGGCGTGTCGTCGAGGTATCCAGGGGTCCAGACGTTGTTACGCGAGTGCGAAATACTTCTACGATGACAATTAACTCCCGGCCCTAATGCTCCGGTGTGACTCTTGTGCTCAATGCTGGAGAGAGCTTCAGCCCTGCGATCGCATCTAATCTACTCTCGCTTCACGTATCTGGAATACTGACTTTGTCAGTTTGCCAGGACTAGGTATTGTAGTTCTACCCATGCAAAGCTTGTGCGCTTGTCTGGACCGTAACAACCTGTCGACGGACTACTTTGCTGAGGAGCATGTGAGAAGATGGACTGGACTGGACACGGCAAGCATACCAGCGGAAACGTGAGCGACATCAAATAAATCCACGTCTTGTTGTCCAGCTACCTGGAAAGGACAGCATCGTAGACAACTTCCCTAGAACCCCGCCAGGCTCTTCGACGTTAATCACTATCGAACTGATCATTGCAACTGAGCTCCGGAGTTGGAGAAGATGATTGCCTGGACTCCACGATCTTCCCTTTCCCTTTCCCTCGACCACGTTTCTGCGGGCTCCCATTGCCCGTAGAAAGGTCGCTATCAGAGGCTTTTCTCTTCTTGCTAGAAGCCTTGCTCTCGCCAACGATGTCGCTGCCATGCTTGATCTTGCTGCCCATGGCGCCATATTCCTGCATCAGCTTCTTCTTGAGGTTTCCCCAAGTCACTTCTGCACTATGAACAGAAGAGAGGCCAGCGACTGTGGCGAAGGCTTTGTAGTCGACCTGCAAAATTTAAGTCGAAAGGCTGTAGGCTGGAGATGAGGATCATATTTACCTTTGGCTCCGTCTTGCAGCACTGCCAGGCTTTGGCAAGCTGTTCCATTTGCTTCTCTGAGAAAGGCATTTTCTTGTTCAGGCGCAGGTGGGTTTCTCAGCGGGCCTCTGGCCAAAAGCTCAAGTCTTGATCTATATATCGTCAGCTTTCGACAGTATCGAGTGATGTTTCGAGCCACTCTGCTCGTGCATAGTGCCGCTGTGTCGATTGCCGTTTCAGTCGAGATCTTCGCGAGCACAGATCACCGATCCAATATACTTTGCGATTTCAAGATCGCGAGAGTTACTCTAGCTTAAACAACGTTGGGTACATGTATTCTCCGTCCGCCCTGCGAAAACAATTCAGCAGATCAGGCAACTCGTGTCGAGGCAGCTCAAGTAGCTTAGAAGTGAGGCCAAGGATAAGTCCATACTTTTCGCCTCCTCCCTGCCCCAATTTGTAAGACAAAACAGCGTTGGCCATAAGGAAGCGAAACTCCGCGACACTTTCGAGCCACACTGCGGTTTATAAAGATCTGAACAGCCCCTACGATTCACAACAACCTCATAACGCCATGCCTATCCAATGGAGCGCCCAGATGGACCAGAGACTTCTGCTCGTCTACGTGGCAAATTCCAATCTGTCCGCAACGGCGGCAGCGGAAGGATGGAAGAAAATGCACAGTCAGTACGGTCCAAGATCCTCCAAGGCTACACATCATGATACTGACAGCCGCGAAGCCGGTCAAAACATTCCACAGCCAACCAAGCGCGCCATCATGGAGCACATCCTCAAACTGAAAAAATCCATCGGTCTCGTCAAAGAGCGCGACTCAAAGCGCAGCAAAGCCGGGACGCGCGCAACTCAGTTTCCAAAATCTTCAGATCCCTTTGATTCTGCTGCAGGATTGGAAATCAATCGAGACGACACTGAGATGGCTTTTTCCATCAAAGCTGAATCTCCCACGACTTCGAAAACACATGAGGGAACTATACCCACCTCATCTTCCATAACCATCGAGCCAGATAACCGTAGTCTTCAATCTGACAGCGAAGCTCCTATGAGTGGCGAGGAGACGGCCGACGAATTGCACCCAAACGAACCGCAGATGAAGAATGAAGACGAAGACGAAGATTTCGTGATCCCGTTGCTCGACGACTCGATTCGTCCGACCATGTCTCCAGAACGAACTCAAAAATTTCGTCAAGCGAAAGCGAAACGAAAGGTGGTGTATGATTTTGATAGTGATGATGATGATGATAACAGCGACCTTCTTCGCGAGAATATGTCTGCGACTGTGGGACGGAGTCCTTCGCCACCGCCGGCACATGTGGCTAGTCTTGCTGTGAGCTTGCACGGATCGCTCGATGGGAATTCCACGTTGAATTCATTTCAGCATGATGATCCTAGCGTGGAAAGGAGCCTTGATATGATTCGGGATAAGAAGAATAATAATGGTAGAAGGGACAAGAAGTCTGAAGGATCTCGAAAGAAGACGAAGAAAAATTTGAAGCATGTGAAGAGGTATATTTATTGAACTAATTTCGCTATAATTGGGGGGGGGGTTTGTTCGAGAAAAATACGTCTGTCTGTCTCTCTTATTTGAAGCGTTAGAATGAAGACATCTCGCAACCGACCTACAGTGGAGGGGAAGATTGGAGCGCAATGAGATCCCGTCCCGTGTATAGAGACCGAAGATCCTTGTAGAGGCGCGGGATGAGCGTAGTTAAGTTGAGGCGAGTACTCGCGGGTGGTAGCACGTAGATGGTACACTCTCTCATTAGCTTTAGCTTACCGACTAGGGTCTATAGATTGCTATTTGGCACAAACGATCGTAGCGAGCCTTATAAAGATCTGCCTAGACTCCCTCCAGCCTCCAAGTCTCTAATCACTTCTCCATCCAATCCTAAATATCTCCAACTCTACAATGCACAAAGTCATCGATTGGGAACACGGCGGTGATCAACGCCTTATTCGAGCTTTATGCAAACTCCTCAACTCGAAGTATACAGTGATTGCTCAGGCGTTCTATGGTTAGTTACCGGACAACGAGAATATATGTGGAGTGTGTACTGATATATATTGTTACAGAGAAAGAACAAAAATGCACCGAAGCAGAAATCAAAGTTGTCAAACGGCGGATTCAGAAATTGACGGGCGGAGATGCCTCTATGAAAGGTTTCCGTGTACGGAAACAAAAGACGAAAAGTGAGATACCTTATCTTGTGATGAATGCTATTAATGTCGCTGCTAATGAATGCAGAGAGGGAGTCTCTAAAGTCAGAGAGTGAGGAGAATGGTGTCCAAACGCCGCCTACTCCATCGCCCGATGAATCTTTCACTCGAGCGAAGAGGGCGTGTCGGGCGTCTATGGTGAAGTACGAATTCGATGGGTCAGAGGATGAACAGGGACCTTTGTAATGAGTCTGGCTTCGCGTCGTAGATTTTCTCTATTGCGTTACGTAGTGAAGAGTCAAAGTTCAGGTAGCTAGTTGTAGTATCTTTAATGATGTCTTGTTAAAAAATCAGCATTTTTCGTGTAGTCAGACGATCTTCTGCTATCGCACGAGCACCTAGCCTTCGCGGTGAAGCTCAGCACCACATGTATCTTGTATCAGTGGGGAGTATCTGCGAGGCGTTGGAGGATTTGAGGTGAGAAGAGCAGAGAGTCCGTCGATCCTGGTAGGCTAGTTCGGGACAAAATCAGGCCTGCTCGATGGCTTCGGTCGTATGGCATGGGTCGCAGCAGGAAGTCTTAGCTTAAAAGAGAGCTCAATCTCAGCTGATCCTATCTTCCCACTCGCCCAACTACTTGACAATCTCGCGATGGGTATCCTTTGGAATCAAGCCGCCGATCAACGCCTCATCATAGCACTCTATGAAGCCAAGACCAAGAAGTTCAGCGACATCGCACAGCAATTCTATGGCAAGTCGGCGTGGCGTAATGCGTAGATTTGAAGGACATTTCTGATGAGCAACCAGGAAGAGAGCATCAAGTGACCGGCGCGGACATTGATGCGGTACGACATCACATCCGCTCCCTCATGGGAGGAGCTGGCAGAAAGCCAAATGGTCAGCGAAAGCGCAAGCAGGCGAAGTCGAGAAGTAGGTTACAGCTCACCAACCATATCACAAAGTGGGCACCCACTCATTCGCTAAAGCTTCAAAGCCGAAGGCCAAGCAAGAGACCGACGTGACAATGGTCGATGATGGTCCAGGCATTGTCAAGGAGCATGCAGACTTCGATAGCGACATGTTGCCATGATCTGATTCAGAACAAGATCCTGAAGTAGTGCTCGATCCTGTCAAATATCATTACCACATCAGAATGCCAATGATTCTCCGTCCGATCGCTTGAGCTTGAAGCAGCGAAAGTGACAAATACTTGCGTGCCTTTTCGAGCCTAGGTTGTCGATACCTGGAGTATCTCGCTGCCAAACCGGTTCTGCTTGCCAGGTAGCTTTCACACTGCGCAGAGGTGCATCGTAGAGAGGGCCTGCCGGATGTTAGCCACTTGATCCGAACCCCTGTCTCATTAGACTTTGTCACAAAGTCAAGGCTGTCAAGCAAAAAGAACCTTGCAAGTAAGGCTTCGTATCGCGGTTGCTTCACAGCTGTGTTCACACGCAGCAAGCTCACTGTCGCAGGAGACGCAAGCGATGTGATGGAGCTGAAAGAATCCTGGAGCGATCGCGGTCGCTCGATTGCCGTTGCAGCCGACCGGAGATGACTTTTGATCTAAGAGTGGGTTGTCAAGCTGATATATAGCATGCCCGAATCGCAGCTTCTTCGTGTAGCAGCAAGCTCTAGATCGAGGAGCAGGCGGAGAAGTCGAAGACATACTACGCCTTCCGCGGTTTTGTGTCTCGTTGCAATTCTCGAAAAGCTGTGAAGTGCTACAGCGGACTGGTGCCACAGTGCCAATATTCAGATCATCATCTCGAGCTTCTATTATTCCAACTCTTGCTCGCGGAAGACCAGTGCAGTCAAAACTGCGCGATAGATAATCAGATATGCCCCACGCATGGACTCAATCGATGGATCAACGTCTCATGATAGCCATTTTCGAGGCGCAGTCCAAGAGTCCCGCAATCATCGTTGGCAAGTGGGTTGAATTGTTCGGTACGAAGATCTCCACGTGCTGTTTGGTAGTGCAACGTGCTCATGACCAGACAGGGAGAACGGAAGACACGCCTACCGCGAACGGTGTAAAGTTCCGCATTCGCCGTATAATGGCCAGTCTCCGTGCATCACACAGACATGGTCACACTTCGACTGCCGCCGCCAGAGCTGGTGCGAGGGTCTCGAACAAAGCGCCAAAATCGCAGATGGCAGAGATCGTAGCAAAAGATATCGAGGAGCTTGACCGTGGTAGTCTTACACCGGAGTCGCTCGGAGGTGTGCTTTCGTAGGGTGTCATTCATCCATATCGCCGTTCAGGTCAGGCCTGAGCCATTGTAATAAGTGTCTTTCACAAGCAGAACATGTGTGGGAATGTTCCGTGTCGATGTCGACGGCACATGGAATGAGGAATCCGGAGGTGGGAGCCTCCTGGAGTCATACGCTAGCTCAAATTCAGTATAGCGTATTCTCAACCCCCGCAAAGTGAAGGGAGAATGGAAAGCGCGACCATGCAAACATCTTTCTGCTTTTCTATGTTTTGAGCACAGTACTTCGCATGCATCGAAAGCTCATACAGCAACCTCTACAGAGGCTGTACCGATGCGCCCTACCCAGTGTCATGAATATCGAGTGGCGATCGCGATCGGAGCCCGAGAGGTGTTTGGGCGATGACCACACTTATCTGCATCTGGACGATATCTTCCGCCTGAAAGCCATCGTTTGGTGTCTCCGGCACATTCTGCTGTGTCTGATGCTCCTCGAATCCACGCTACTTTGTCGCATCCAGCCGTCACTGCGAACTTCTCGACTGAGATCCATGAGCCGTCGCTCCTCCTCGAGCTCAGGGAGACCAGGCTACGGAGCACTCTTCGGACTTCACTCCTGTGACAAAGGACCAGATCGTCGCAAGCCGCCTTCCAGAATGGAGTACCGACTTGCTCCTTCCCAGAGACGTCCGTCATATATAAGCCGCGGTGGAGTGTAGAGGTTGTGAGTTCAAAGTTTTGCACAGATACTTCTCGTGAAATTTTGGGGGGAATTTTCAGTGGGAGCATTTAACTCTGAAAAGCTAGGTAGCGGCAGAAAGCAGCTCCAATTTTCTTCCGCCCAAATTCCCATACTGTTCGGAGCTGATGTCGCAGAGCTTGAACCAGCAGTGACGAGCAGATGGGTTCGACAGCGGGATATGCCTCTATTGAGGTCATCGAACACCGCACACCGCCAGGCATCGGGCTTCTGAACCCCTTCAAAACGAAGGTGAAAATATCCATAAGCTGTGTGAGTCTCATAGTGGACGATGCCAAGGGATCGCTGTGGCAAAGATTGTGACGCGAAGCAATGCATAGCCTGGTCATGCTTACTTAGAGAGCTCTCTCTGCCCGTGACGCCGTGCTGAACGCTAAACAAGATCCAAGGGAGTAGAATTGCAAAGAAGACTTCTGTCGGTATTCAGTGTCGCCATATGCGCACAGCCTTATCTTCACCTCCACTTCCAACACGCTCTCCATCAGGCGACCAATCAACGGCGAAGACCCTAGCCTGATGGCCTGGAAGATTCTCCTGCAGCTTTCCAGTCCTCACATCCCACACCTTGAGTGTGGAGTCCTCACTACCGCTCACCAGAAGTCGGGAGTCGGCTGAGAAGGCGCATTGGAAGACTTTGCCGACATGGCCTCGCAAGGTGTAAAGAAACTTTCCATCCTTGGCTTGCCAGAGTTTGACATGGTTATCAAAGCCTGTCGACGCGATGTATACGCCATCAGCAGAGAATGCGACGTGGTTGATAGTCTTCTGATGTCCGACCATACGTTGTAAAGGCTTTGTAGACTTGGCCGGCTCCCATAGAAACATGGTGCAATCATCGCTAACCGTCACCAAGCGTTCGGTGCCCCCGGACGTCGTCAACGCGCTGTCGTACCTTTGCTTTGCTTTCTTACGCTTCCCTTCGACAGAGTCAGGAGTGCCTTTCGTTCCTGTGTGGTCAAAGTAGCCAGTCCGGAGAACAAAGTCGGTGGAAAGGGCAATGTGATTGACCCAGTGAGCATGTGAAGTCAAGTTGTGGACAAGGGTACCCTTGGCTGCATCCCAGATCTTGACGGTACGATCGCGAGATGAAGAGTAAATCAAACCAGATCCACCCCACTTCACACAAGTCACGTCGCCTTTGTGACCGGTCAGTGCCATGTCTGTGTGGCCACTCACGGCATCCCATATTCGAATGGTCATGTCTTGTGATGCTGATGCGAGTCGTGGTCGTCCCTGCTCCCGTACATGATAGGGCTCCCACGATATGCTCATGATTGATTTTGTGTGTCCTTTCAAAGGTGCTCCCAAAGGAGTGCCTTTCTTGGGATCCCATATTCTGACAGTGTTGTCCTTGTTGCCGCTGCCTGTCGCGAGCAGTCCACCATCAGGCGACCACGCTACCACCAACACCCATCCTGTGTGGCCTTTCAGAATATGTCTCGGAGTGCCAGTCTCGCAGTCCCATAGTCGCGCTGTGGAGTCCCCCGCTCCTGTGGCCAGACTTGCAGAGCTCGCTGGCGAGAATGAAGCACAGAGTATGCTTGCGCCATGTCCCGATATGCTTGCTGAGCATCTCGTCACAGGCTTGACCTTGAAGACGGCCTCTGCTCTGCATGGGATGTCTAAAGACAACTCTGTATTGTGTGTGCCCTCCAAATGCCGTCTAATCACATCTTGCTGGCTGAACTCGCCGGATCCATCCTCGAAGGGGTTGTAGAAGCGGTACGGGAGTCGATCTGCCGGTTCGGTCTTGCCGAGAAGGCTGTTGAGTAGTAGAGAGAGGTTTTTCGGGGTGAGGTCCTTCAGCGATACGGAGACCACTGGACCTTGAGGTGCGCCTGTGTCTGCATCGCGAAATTGAATTCGCTGAGTGCCGTCTGGGATTTCCGGGGTTTCGATTGTGATTTGTTCGCGAGCGAGAGCGGCGGCCTCTGTCTTTTGGCGTTTCGAAAGCGGCGGCAGGACGGTAGCCATTCTGAAGTACCACTTTGCGGCTGGTAATGCAGAGGGTGTAACGTTCGCAGAGGACGAGTCTCTTTCAACTTTTTCGAACTGACTAAGCGGATTTAAGCTTTAAGCCCGATGCAGGTTCAGGTATCGTATTCGTATACAGTTTCCTATCTCGAGACCAGACTAGAGATAGGATTATTTGAGGGTTTAGTATTTTGGTATGTGTGTGTGTATGTAGTATAGTGGCATAGTATGTAGCTAAGGTATAGCGTATAGCTAATTAGCGTTTAGATAATAGAGATCCTATCTCTAGTCTAGGCCGTTTCGGTCGCAATTTAGCTATTTATATAGATTTTCCCCTCTTAAGGAAGCACTCGTCGAGGAACACAAATTAATATATAATATATAGTAGAGGCCCTAGATAATATAATTATCTAGGCCCGCCTAGTAGTACTTTTTCGAATTACGGTCTTAATTGTACGTATTCTTATCGTCGCGGTCGTCGTAGTATAGAGTAGCCTTCTATATAGCCGAGCGTATTCGGTTTTTAGATTACATTCGATTTTCCTAAACCGGGGCTATCGTATATAGAATAAAAAATAGTAATTAGTATATATAAAGTATTTATCTAGGTCGCTACTATAGCGGATTTTCGAATTTCGGTCTAGGTATTGCGTATTCTTTCTTCGAAAAAAAATTCGGGTCGCTTTATCTATATACGCGTACTAAAACCCGACAGAAGCGGATTAGACCAGTAATAAAGGGTATTGTGTGGTCTGTGCGGGAGTTTATTTCTATAGTAGCTTGTAGTGGCTAAGTACAGATATACCATACAACACCCTTTGTTACTGGTCTGAGTGGAGATAGTACAGTTTCTACGGTATGCTGCCGCTCCACAAAGCAGACGTGATTTCCTCACGCGAGGCGAGCCGGTGGAATCAGTGGATAGGTGGAAGCAAGAGATATCCCACAGGCACAGGCACAGGCACAGGCACGAACATGGACTGCGGCTGTAGAGCTACTTCTGTCTGCAAGGAGCCACAGATGGTACAAGAACGGGCTCAATGGCAGAGGAGGTCACCGTCACCACCGGTCGAGTTGTTGAAGTGATACTCTTGTACGGTATCACGCTGATGCTCGCGTATTCTCATTCCTCCCGTAGCAGCTTCAGACAGCCAACTCTTTCGCGGCGCGGCTACGTCGCCTGGCAGCGGTGGTGTCAATGTGTCGCCATGGTGAAGGTGAAGGTGACGAGAAATGTCTGTCGCACGCGCCCGCGCCGCTGTCACTGTCAACATCGTCTTCTTCTTCTCCAGCCCGCAGTCAAAGACCACCCAACTGATGAAAAAAAAAGATGAAGCACGGAAGCCAGCAACTGTGTTCTCAAAGTCAGCCACGTCCAAGTCTCGGGAGGTGAAGATGCACTCACAAATTGCGCCGATGCCGCCCCCGCAGGAGATGCACTGACTCGAATACCGCAGTGTGCAATGCAGATTCTCGTCTAGACCGAAGCCCATTCATGAGCGGGCACGATTCGACAAGGTAAGTGGAGAAAAAAAAGGAAGAAACAGAAGAAGAGGAATTGACGAGCGGAACAGAAAGGGCGAGAGCTCGAGAATTGCTGACTCACTAGCGCGGCGCTAGAACTAAGCGGTCGAAATACGCGCGTAATTGGTGTCATGATGTAGATCTCAGCATGGGTCGGAACACAAGTACTGTAGCACCAGCGTCGAGATGCCAATGGCCAGGCCGTACGCCAGCCAGAGCTTTTGTCGCGAGTCTTCATAGATATTCTGTGGCACCTGGATCGACACTTGAACAGGCTGCAGGTAGAAGGCCGAAGAACACGGTACAGCGGCGGCTTGTGCCCCTACGACAGAGCAGTTCTCCTACCTCCGTTCAGGCCTTTGTGCATTAAGGATTACGTTCCGCGGTGGTGGTAGTGGCGGAATAGATTAGCATACGTGATACAGTCAAATTTAGGGTTCTTTTGCCGACTTCCGATCCACCAATTATATACCACTCTATCTAATCCTTTGCCTAAAGGCCTAAAGCTAAACCGCTAATTTTTATCGTAGATTCCGCTATTAAAATACGATCTCGCTATACTAACGACAACTAGCAAATCTAATACGAGGAGGTTGTAGCCCTACTAATTGCGAGTCTAACGATCTAAAAATCCTATATATACGACGTATATACGTTAAGTTATAATAAATCTCGCGACGCGACTTAATATAGCTATCCGGCTACTAATATATACTAAAATACTAACCCCTAAGTCTAGTATATCTAATACTTAGAGCCCCTTAATTAGTGCTATCCGACTAACTTCTTAGCTATACGTACTAGGTATACGGTTATAGTACGAAGGTATTATAACGGTTATACGGTATAAAAGTTAATATATTCTCTAAGGTGCCGCGAGGCAAGCTATCTATATAATAGTCCTACTATTAGTAGCAATAGCGACCGCAGCGGTCGGTAGTAACCGCTGCCTACTATCGTATATATAATAGTATTATATCGTAATAATACGTACCTATGCGCGACTTCTTACTATCGAGTTCTCGTCTATATTAGAAATAGCGGTAGTAATACCCTCCTTTATTTTTAACTAAACTAACTCGAGGCCCTTCGGAAGGTACTTCTAATCGACTTCCTTACTAGATATAACTGCGCCCGGTATAGTAGTACTAAGTTCTTATTACTTTGCCGACGCTAGTTACTAGCGACTTAGAAGGTTCTAAATAGATTTATTACTAACCTACCTAAGACCTATATAAGCTCGTATACCTAGTATTTCTAAATAACTTTACTATAACTAGTATATCTCTACGGACTATCGTTACTAAGATATAGTTAAGTAGTAGACGCGACTCGAGCTAGTAATTCGAGTCGGTACTCTAAATACTAAATAATACTAACTACTACTAACTAATACCTATACGACCTATACGACCTATATAGTATCGCTAATATAAGCGACTCTAACTTAACTAATTAACCCGATACTTCGGAGCTCGATCGTCGTCTAGGTAGAGGTACTTAGAGTAGAGGCGCTTAATATACTTCTTCTTCTTATCTCTCTAATATTCTAGCTATATCTAAACTCGATCGGCGTAGCGAAAATAATACCGCCTTACCGACTCGACTAGAATATAATAAAGATAAAAACGAGGACATAGTTATACTAGAGGATCTAGATCTACTAAGATAGACGTCCGACTTACTAGTCTATATAGTCGATTAAGATCGCTACTACTAGCGCTAGTATTATAGCGACTATTATAACTCCGAGAATATACTAGGTAATAAGGACCGCCTAGCTACTCGACGCTAGCCTAGACGCTAACCTAATAAGCGTATTACTCCTCGCTACCTACGAAATACTAATCGTAACGTCGACTATACTTAACTAGTTAAAGATAATAGTATAACCGAAGACGAGGACGCCGATATAGATAAAGAGTTACTAAGCGAGGGCGAATTAGAGATCGAGAGTCGTACTAGTAATGCCTCTAAAAATAACGACGATAACTAACCTATATAGCGTTCTAGCGAGCGCGGCCTCGATAAGATAGACAATAAGGAAGAGGGCGAACTCGACCCTACTAGCCTCCGTAGTCTACGTCGTACGCTAAAGTAGAAGTATAGCCTTACTATAAAGCACCTCGCCTAGCTTAGATTGCTAATAGAGAAGATAATATTTATATAGTTCGGTAAGGAGGGTACAAAGACCTACCGCAAGCGTATATAGACTATTTAAGATATATTGCCGAATAAGCATCTTATTAGTGCTATTTAGCTACGCGCTAAAGTTAAGAACTTAATTAGCAAGAAGTTCTTTAATGCGTATAAGCTAGAAGACAGCCTTGCTATACTACGTCGCCTTTCCGAGATATACGACGTAATCTATAATATCGCTCTAAATTAGTACCGCCTTCTCGAGGACTTTATACTACCTAATACTCGAAAGGATACCGTATAGCGAGCAATATCCTTCGAAGACAAGCGAAATATAATATAGAAGCGTATATATACGATTATATATATAGTAGTGTATTCTATAGCGATAAAGAGGGCGTCTTAGATGCTAAAGTCGCTTAGTCTTCTACTTGTCTATATTAGCAATATGCCGGCCCCTCTTATCGATACTCTTTATAGTATAGGTCTACTTCTAGCGTATAAGACTATCTAGGCCTTAATTAAGAAGAATGCTAACACTTAGCGGCTAAGGTTCTTAGAGTAGGCTAAGTTATATATCTAGTAGATCTGCTACGACAACTTTAATCGCTAGGCAAAGCGGAAGGACTAAGGCATTGCCGACAATAATAAATAGGTTAACATTACTAACTCGTATATCGCCCTCTACGAGGATATACTAGAGGGTAGTTTAATATAGGATATACTAGACCGCTCGAAGCTAGTCCTAACTAAGAATATTATCTAAAACATCGACAATAATAATACTATTATAGTAGTCGAAATGCACTAGCTCTACGAAGCTTATATATATATATATTTAGTAACGCGATTAAGACGATCTTTAAGGTAGCGAAGGATACCGGCAACCTAGTCGAAAAACTAGCATATTCGGAGATTAACTATAGCTTCCGTAGTAAGACTTAGCTACTAGCTATACCTCTATCGTAGAATAATAAGATCTCGAATAAGGGCACCGCCTTAGTATACGACGACATCTACTAGGGCAATCTAGGTCTAAAGCTAGAGGATCCGATTTTCGATAATAGATTAATTATTAACGTTAGTAATTAGCTAACTATCGAGCGTATATTAGCTATAATCTTTAGTAGTGTCGAGAACAAGGCTATATACGATAGGAAGCAGTATATCCTTCTAGTGCCCGCTTAGTTCTATATCTTTATAAACCTATACTTTATACTATTCCGTACCTATTAGAACAAGAACAAGGCCGGCGATCGTATAGACTTCTCTCTATTATCGGATGTCGATTTCTAGGGTATAAAAGAGGTTAATCTAAAGTTACTAAAATTCTTCCGTATATAGAGACTGCTAAAGCGTTACTTTAAGGCCCGCACCGTCGCCGTATTCCTATAGATTATAGTTAACCGTAGCTATATCTCTAAGGATCTTGTTAGCGAAGGTAACTAGACCCGGCCTAAGGTCGTTAAGTAGGCTATTATCGAGAAGATGTCCGCTACTAAGTATATAGATATCCTAAAGGAGATGTATAAGCTACTCCTATTACTAGAAGCATAGGAGGGAATGCCTAATCGACCTACCTCTACCGACAATAGCGCTATACTAGCTAGGCTAGATAGGGCCTTTATATCTATATATAGACTAATAAAGGAGATCTCTTTGTTTCTACGCGTCCGCTATACTATCTGTATATAGGATATCGGTTACCTTCGTCGATACGTAGACTATACGATCCCTATGTTCCTTAGAGCTAGATAGAGCAACTATAGTCGTCTAATAACCTATTTCTATTTCCTCCTTAATAAGGGTAGTACTAAGAACCTATAGAAGGCGGTCCTTGCTACTATAATAGTTAATTGGTCTAGAAAGAAGGGCTATACTATCGGTAGTAATAAGATAATTAAGCTTATTAACTATACCCTATCCGAGGACTATAATCGCCTTGCTAATTCGACTTATAGACTTGCTACTACCTTTAAGCGAGTATCGATAAACCGAGAGTTATCTCGCCTTATCCGCGATATGTTTAAGGAGAATTCTAGTATCTGTTGGACTAGTTACTATACTAATAAGGATATTAGCGCGGGCGTATTTAATCGAGCTAATAAGATCCGTATTAATAGGTTCGCGAAGTAGTAGCACGGAGATTTTACGCTCTCGGACGATATCTAGAATATCGGTGCAGATTAGATACTATTAGTCGTTAAGAACTTTAACGCTACTAACTAGAACTTTATTCGAGGCCGTACTACGGTGCTAGAATCTAATGCCTTAGAGGGTTCTAATGCTATAGAGCGCCTAGATAGTATTAATTACGGTCTAATTAAAGATGCAGTACTTAATCTAGAGCGAGATAATATATAGGTTTAGCTTGTAGATAGTACTACTTAGCTATTCGAGGGTATAGAAACCTAGGACCTAACTAGTATAGGCACTAGCGCTAGCGCTAGCAACGGTAGAGTAGAAGGAGCTAATATAGGTCTCCTCGCACGTATAGGTAGCCTTAGTAGTAAGGGTAGTAGTAACTTCTAAAGGAATAGAGTATAGAGTATAGAGCATAGAGCATAGAGTATAGAGTATAGAGCATAGAGTATAATATTTAATATATTAAGGTAGGACTATTCTTGTCTAAGCACTAAACTAACGCTAGCACTAAACTAACGCCTATAATGTCGTCGTTATCCTATAGTAGCTCTAGATTGTACGCGCCTAGCGGCGAAGTAATAGCGGTAGACTAGAGTACGTACCTAGCGGTAGACTAGAGTGCGTACCTAGCGGTAGACTAGAGTGCGTGCCTAGCGGTAGACTAGAGTGCGTGCCTAGCGGTAGACTAGAGTACGTACCTAGCGGTAGACTAGAGTGCGTGCCTAGCGGTAGACTAGAGTGCGTACCTAGCGGTAGACTAGAGTGCGTGCCTAGCGGTAGACTAGAGTGCGTGCCTAGCGGTAGACTAGAGTGTATACCTAGCGGTAGACTAGAGTACGTGCCTAGCGGTAGACTAGAGTACGTGCCGCGGTAGACTAGGGTACGTACCTCGTCGGGAGTGTTTATAAAGTCGAAGGGTTTAGCTAGGCGTACGATAATAGTTTAATAGCTAGCTAGGCTAGGCGTACGATAATAGCTTAATAACTAGCGTTACTCTAACTAGCGGCAGTCGGAGTCTTAGTTAGAGTAGAGGTCTCTACTATTAGCTTCGCTTTAGACTTAGTTCCTATATGAATTTAGAGCGCCTAATACTAAAGGAGGCCTCCGGTAATTTCGATAACTACTAGCAATTCTAGCCTTAGGCATTTAACTAGCAGTAGTCGGCGGCTATAGCGTTAAAAGTGCGATAATATATAGCCGTTATTGTTGCCTTACTATTATAGCGTAAATAGCGCAATCCTATTAGTAGAGGCAAACCTTACCTACGATGCGCTAATATAGACCTACGCTTCCTAGTTTAACTTCTTCTTCTTCTATATATACTAATACACTAACATACTAACACCCCTAGCAATATACTAGCTATCGGCTTCTAATAGCAATAGTGTCGATACCTCTTTGTCGTATATAGGTAGCTCTATAGCGATTAATACTATTCCTTACTAGTTCTACGGCTTGCTACCGATAGAGCCGCTTGTCTAATAGTTAAGGTTCCTCGATAGGTAGAGTTTGTTTAGTCCTTCTCTTAAGGTCTCCGATAGGCTTTGCTAAGCAAGACATTACGAGGCGACTCTCCTAGCGAGTAGATATACTATAGCTTTAGCGGGCGTCGACTACGCATTTAACCGAAAGAGTATAGTTATTGTTAGATCGCAGTCTTGTCTTAGTATAATAAACTGCGGGTCTTAGGTAGATTAGCGGAGGTAAAAACTCTTTAGTAAGGTATACCTATAATGCGGCTAACGGTCTAACTCGGTAAAAACTCTTTAGTAAGGTATACCTTAAGTAGCGGCTCGATAGCGACTCTCCTACTAAGTAGGTTAATAGGTTCGTAGTATTGCTATAGGTCTAACTCGGTAAAAACTCTTTAGTAAGGTATACCTTAAGTAGCGGCTAGGCCTAATTTGGTAAAAACTCTTTAGTAAGCTATACCTTAAGTAGCGGCTAGGCCTAATTCGGTAAAAACTCTTTAGTAAGGTATACCTTAAGTAGTGTTAGGACTAAAGAGGCTACACGTAATTAGTATGTGATTAGGCTAAGTAAAGCTAGGGTCTTAGTGCCTTAGGTAGGGCTTGGCGCTTAGCGTTAGGCTAACTAGCCTGCCTTCCTCCTTCTCCTCCTAGTTCTCTATCGAATACTACTTGTACCTACTACTACCCTATCTACCTACTAACATACCCTTCTTATATAGTATTCGATCTACCCTTTAAGGGCAGTAGCTAGATAGTCCTTATTTCAAGCTTTTAGCGGTATAGCTACGAACAAGACTAATCTAACTATATTGCGCCCGAAGAACGGGACCTATACGTACTATTCTATCGAAACAACCGTACTAATTATTAAGCAAGGCCTTCTATACGGCCTATTATACTAAGTTAAGCATACTAGGCCGATATCCACTAATTCCGCTATATCCGCATCTTAGGGGCTAATAATACATTATTAGTGTCGCCTCTTATAATAGCCGGTTTATTACGAAACAACAACCGCGGCGCCGCTAGCAGCGCTAGCAATAATAATACTAGTAGCATAGTGCCTACCGAAGTGCCTACTAAAGTGCCTACTAAAGCACCTACTAAAGTGCCTCCTACTAAAGAGCCTACTAGAGGGCCTGCTAAAGAAGAACCTATAATTCTAGGTAATAATCTAGAATTGCCTATTAACGACATTCTTAGCAACATTGTTAATCGACGATATAGCTAGCTAGCCTTTAGCCCTCAACTAGTAGGGAGACTTTAAGAAGCTACTTAAAACAGGCTTACTGCCCTACGTTAAGAACAATAGCTAAAGGATAATCTCCTCGAGATTCGCCGCCTATAGGAAGCCCTAATAACTACTGCTAGACTAGAACTAGTAGCAGGACCTTCCGTACAAAAGAAGGATACTAAGCTTAAGGACTATACTATATTCGATAGCTCGAGTCGAAAGTAGTACAACGACTACATTCGTAACTATAAGCTTAACTAGCGCAATGCACTAAGAGCGTTGCTAGATAACTATTTATTAGTCGTCTACGCTATACAATACATTAATAGAGACCTAAAACGTACCTAGGATAACTATTTTAAATCCCTTAACGATTAGACCGCTATTTAGTAGCAGACCTATAAAACTATTATACTAGACACCCTTAGAAACCCTATACTAAGGCAACAACACGCTTAGGACTAGTACCTTCGAGCTAAGCAAAAGACTAATTAATTAGCTCGCTTATTTAAGGCCTATTTGCAGACCCTCGAGGACGATTTACTACCTAAGACCGACTCTATCTAGATATCTAAGATACGACCTAAATTGCGATAGGAATTAGTCCTTAAATTAGACCGCCGCCGTGTATTCGAACAGGCTAACCTAATACGCATTTAATTCATAGTCGAAGTAGAAACAGCCGAACGAGCTATTTAGCTCTAATAACGACTAGAATCGAGGATCCGACTAGCTAGTACTAACCGCGGCAACCGTAGTGCCCGCGGAGGAAACTAAGGTTCCTACTAAAACAATAGTGCTAATAATAGGAATAGTAACAACGACCGTAGAAGAGGCCGTAGCCGGCGGCTATATAGAGGAGGCCGCGATAGGGGCCGTAGAAGGGGCTCGTATCCCTATAATACTAACCGCTCGACTAACAATAATAGTAACAGCTATAGCAACCCCCTAACCGGACTAAAGTGCTTTAATTGCAATAGCACTAGCTATCTACTAGGCTAATGCGATAAACCTAAGGACTAGGCCCGAATCGACCGTACTGCCGCTAAGTACCGAAAGCACCTTTTAGCAGCTAACGCTACCCCTATAGGCTAACCTTCGAAAAAAGAATAAGCGCCGTACTAACTGTTAGCCTTGTGCGGCGTAAGACTATCGACATTATGCTAGCTATTATACGTACCTGTCTCGTAGGGGATATATATAGCAACAATTATAAAACTAAGGTTACTCTAGACCTAGGAAATTCAGTTAGCGCCCTTATTAACTATCGCCTAGCTAAGCAATTAGACCTTCGATAATTGCCTAGGACTAACCTACTAACCCTTACTTAGTTTAATAACGCTCGGCACTTAACCTATAGAGCTTACTATATCTATATAGCCCTAAGAGACGACCTCGGCAATAAGCGCCTGCTAAACTTTACTACCTACGTAGTAGATATAGATAGCCTCCTATCCGATATTATTATTAGCAACCCTATTCTTAAGTACTATGCTATAGCTATAGACCTAGGCCTCTAGAAGTAGCGATTCGGAATTGCTAGGAAAGAGGATATTAAATACATTAATATTAGCGAGTGCCCTAACGATATTAGGGTCCTGTTTATTAGCAACCTAATACCTGCCTTAGCTAATCCGACTACCGACCTACTCGGCAGTAATAACGATAAACCTATGTCCCCTAATAGTATAGACCCTAATCAGCTCGAGCGTATACTAGAGCCTATTCGAGAGACCTATATTAATGTGTTTAAACACTACCTAGTATCGACGTTGCCTATGTTTAAAGAGACGGATTATAAGATTAATATTATAGAGGGCAAAGAGGTCCCTTTTAGTCCCCTCTATAACCTTAGTAAACGAGAGCTTACTATATTGCGTAAGTATCTAGAGGAAAACCTAGCTAATAGTCGAATTCGATATAGCAACAGCCCTGCTAGTACGCCTATCCTGTTTGTTCTAAAGAAGGATAGTAGCCTGCGCCTATATATCGATTATCGTAGGCTTAATGCTATTACTATCAAAGACCGCTACCTACTTCCGCTTATTAATAAGACCCTCGATCGCCTTTCTAGTACCTACTTCTATACTATATTAGATATTAAAGACGCCTATTACCGTATTCGCATTCGTAAGGGTAATAAATAGAAGACGGCCTTCCGCACTCGCTATAGCTATTTTAAGTACTTAGTTATACTATTTAGGCTAGCTAACGCCCCTACAACATTCTAGTCCTATATTAATCGGGCCCTATTAGCCCTATTAGACTACCTCTATATAGTTTACCTAGACGATATCCTAGTTTACACCTATTCGCCTAATATCGCAGAGCACTAGGCCGTAGTACGCAAGGTGCTCGACCGCCTACGGGCCTATAGCCTATATTACAAGCCTTCTAAATGCACCTTTGCTACTAAAGAGGTGTCCTTCCTTAGCTTCCTCGTATCAACCGAGGGTATTAAGGCTAATCCTAATCGAATTAAGACTATTACTAAATAGCTAATACCTACTAGTATTAAAGAGCTTTAATTATTCCTAGGTTTTACTAACTTCTACCGTCGATTTATCGAAAGTTACTCGCGGTACGTAATACTACTAACTAAGCTTACTAAAACTAAGGCTAATCTATCTAGAGAGTTTAAATAGACTAATAGAGTACAAGCCGCTTTTAATAGCTTAAAGAAGCGCTTTACTAAAGTCCCCTTATTATACTACTTCGTACTAAGCAAACTAATCCGTATTAAGACTAACGCTTTACAGTTCGCTATATCGGCTATTATATTATAGCAATTAGATAATAACTATTACTAGTACCCGATTGCCTTCTTCTCGAGGAAGATAATCGATACTAAGCGTCGCTACGAAACCTACGAATAAGAGCTCTTAGCAATCGTAGAAGCCTTTAAGCACTAGCGCTACTATCTCGATAGTGCATAGCATACTATTTAGGTCTATACAGACTATAACAACCTCCGTAGAATTACGAAGGTTACTAGGGTTATAGGTCGATAGGCTAGGTAGGCCGTCTACCTCGCTAGGTTTGATTTTGATATATTATATCGGCTAGGCGTAAGCAACCCTACTAATAGCCTATCGAGGCGACCTAATTACGATAGCGGGACTTAGCAATCTATTAATTTATTGTTTCTAACCCTATAGTATAAGATTG